GTGTCAGGCCATGGTGATCTCACTCCCTTTGGTGTCCCCAGGCCTGGGGCCCTTCCCCTTGGGGAAGTCAGCCAAGTTCATTCCTGGGGTAATGATATCAGGAGGACAGAGTTGCCTTGAGGTTAAAATTATTCATGCTATGTTTGCAAGGAGGGCAGCAGGGTTGTGCCTCCACTGGTACAACCCAGTTGTGTGGCTGGGAGGTTAAGGCTGTTGTGTCCAAGATGACATTAATCAAGAGAATTCAGTCTTCTCTGTTAATTACTTTACGTGCACTCAATTTAGGCCAGGCAGGCTGGATTAGCCAATGCAAAATAAATCAAAGCTACATGACAAATCCAAAAGCAACTGATGAAGTTCAACTTGTAAGATAGCTTTGTTCTTTAGCTTAAATCAAGGTAGCTGCTCAAGAAGCCCCAGCAAATACATGCAGAAGCCCTTCCCTTGTTGCCAATTTCCACACACAGCACCACAGAGCCCAAGTGTTTGATCTGGCACAGGTGTGCTGCCTCACCTGCAGAGCATCCCGTGGCAGCAAGCCACCCCACCTGACTCTGGGTGTGCTTTTAGCCTGTGCTTGCTGCAAATTAAAGCACACAGCCATCACCCCCTCCTCAGGCCCTGAGCTGATGGATGTTCAGCTCATGCAAGGGCAGTAGGATGCTGCTGTGTCTCTATATGGTGCCCATCCACAGATCCTTGATGTGTCTCAGCCCTTCTGCCATGAGCTGTTCAGTGCCTCAGTGCTGTCCAGCACTGCACTCCTCTCTGGTGACAGCTGGGACAAAAAGCGAAGCTGTTCCTGCACCCAGCTGTAGCTGGGGCCCCTGCCTGATGTCAGTGCTTTGGTCAGGCAAACAGAATAATGTTTTCAGCCAGGAACAGCCCAGAGCCTGATTTTGGTGTCTCACCCTTGCTCTAGGACTCCCCGACCAACAAATTGCTGTATGCCAAGGAGATCCCTGAGTACCGGAAGATAGTGCAGAGATACTACAAGCAAATCCACGACATGCCGCCCCTGAGTGAGCAGGAGATGAACGCCCACCTTGCCGAGGAGTCACGGGTACGTGGGTGGAGAGGATGGGGTTGAGTCTGCAGGCTCAGTGTCCTGCTGGAGCCTGGCAACAGCAGTGAATGCACATGGGCTGCAATCAGCTACTGCTTAGATGCTGGAAGGAGCACACAATAGAGGATATTTTGCCTGAAACTTCCATACACAAACTTCATCTGACCTAATTCCAAGCATCTTCAATTACTGCCAGAGCTGCAGTAAACACCCATGAGTTTGCTTGAGCCTAACTAGCTCTGGCACCACTGGGAGTTGAGAGCAAAATCCAGTGCCAAAAAGCCAGGAAGTTTGGACACGGATTTCTGCAGTCCTGCAGCCACCCAGCCAGCTGGCTCCCAGGCACAACTGCCAGGGACAGCCCTGAGTCCCAGGCAGCCACTGGCAGCCAGCCCTAGTTCCAGCCACGAGAGCTGGCAGACACATTCCAGATCAGAGTCCTGCCAGTGATGCACCGCAGGTTCCTCAAAATCAAACTTCTCCCCAGGGTGTTTTAGCTTTGGGCACCAAGCAGGATTTTTCTGTTGATATTCCACAGCGCAGCTGATGTGCTGCCCCCTCATGTGAAATGGCTTTGGGCACAGGGGTATGCAGTGCTGCCCAGCATGGGTATTTTACAGCTGGTTTTGAAAAGACCAAGACCCATCCTGATGCAAGCAAACACACCTTCCTTAAAAATCCAGCTATACCAATGTGACAGTAAAGTCAGGCACAATCTGCTTTTACTGTAGTCAGTGCCTGCTGGCTGGGCTGGAACTCACATGCTCCATCCTGCTAATGTTCTCCCCTCTCTTTTCTGTCTTTATAAAGAAACACCGAAATGAGTTCAACACCAATGTCGCCATGGCTGAGATATACAAATACGCCAAGAGATACCGCTCCCAGGTGAGTGGGTTGTACAGCACACGGGCTCTGGCCTGCCTGGGAAGGGAGGAACCATTGCTGCAGTAACCCCACAGGCAGACACCTGCATCTAGTCCCACAGAGCAGGGATTACCACACAGGAGTGTGCATAATTGCACTACATATGTAATAGATGCATATGCACCTACTCTCTGTCCCTTGTCTGGCAACTTCTTGGTTTGGTCATTCCCAGCTGATCTTAATGGCATTTGAGTGGGCTGAAGAAGAGCTACCACATATGTAGACCCTTTCAGGAGAGCAAAACATGCAGATAAGGTCCACCCCCAAAATAACTTGCACCTGCTGTTCCTGCTCCATTGAGGCTGTAGCTCTGGCTGGCTCCCACCCCCCTGCAACCTGTGGGCTGGTGCTGTGCCCTCAGCACTGTTACAGCAGTGCATTTTTGTCGTACTACCACTCCACTCCTGGCCCTGACCAGGGAGAGTAGTCTCCTGACTAAGAGAGCAGGGGTGCTAGGGGTGTGAGCATGTGGGCTGTGGGGCAGGGTGGGCTCTCCCTTTTGGGGCTCTGGCTGGGATTTGGGCTCCACAGGACTGCTGGGGGGAGCTGAGCTGGCAGGTGGGCACTCCACACTGCCTCAGCACCCTGCCTGTGTCTCCCACAGATCGTGGCCGCCCTGGATGCAAACCCCACGACAAAGCGCACCCAGCTCCAGCACAAATTTGAGCAAGTGATTGCACTCATGGAGGACAACATCTATGAGTCCTGCAGTGAAGCCTAGGCCGGCTGCAGCCCTGGAAGTGACCTTTCTTGCAGCACAGTACCACAAGGGAACCTGCCATCAGCTGCAGGCATACCTTGGTCATACTCAAACCAGCCTTGTGGAGGGGGTGAGCCTGGCCATGGCTAAAGGTTTGCCTCACTTCACAAGAAGCCACAAGACACCTTTCTGAGCAGCTAAAACTCTCTGGTCTGCACTGTGGCACCCATAATTTATTTGCTGTTGCCAGCCAGAAGTGGAGGCATGACCCTTGTGGCCAGCTCAGTTCACCAGTTTCCCCTTGGTCAGCACCCAAGCAGTCAGCACTATGTGCAACCCTGTGTGTGGTTCCTCGGGACGGGGCTGCAGAGGCTGGAACAGACACAAAGCAGAAGGGTCACCTCAGGGAGTAATGACCACAGACAGCAAAGACCATCACAGCCTGAGCTCCCACTCCATCCCTCCAACATCCATGTTTTTCCAACACCGGGGACTCTTATCAGCTGTTCACTATCTGCTGCATTCTGTGTATATTTGTGCCTTTTAATTTTTGTACTGTATGTGTAAACATAACCACTCCTCCATCTGAGACTTGGGTAACACAGGGAACTTGAGGCTGAGACAAAGCAGTTGCTTCCCAAGCAGCTAAGGCATGGTGAAAGCACTTTATCCCTGATGGAGAAAGCTGTTTGGGAGCTGCAGGGAGCACAGTCCGTGTCAGCATGAGGAGGGCTGTTCTGCCTTTCCTGGGCTCTCGTGCACGGTCAGCTGGAGCAGTGGGGAGTGAATGCTCCAGCAGGCAGCCGATCCCAGGCATGGTCCCAGACTGGCTGTGGCAGGTGGGGTGGGGGCAGGACCGTGCCCCCAGCTCCTGTCCCCACGCTGGCTCCACACGTGTCCATGGCACTGCACCACCTCAGCCCCAGAACACCGCTCATGCCCACAGGGCCAGCGCCTGCTGGCAGCCCCAAGCCACACACAGGGCAAACGCCAGGTGACATTGCCTCTCCCTGTGACCATCACCAAACACAGGCCAGCCCTGTAGAGGTGTCTCCTAAAGTGGCTTATTCTGCTTGCTTTGGGCCCAGCCCTGTGGCTGGTACCTGAGAGCAGCCAAGAAAGTGGGGCTTGGCTGCATAGCCAGCCTGTTTTCAGCCCTTAAAGGCAGAGGGACTGGACCCAACCCAGAAGTGACACAGGCCAGCAGAGCATCCCCAGCACCCAGAGCTGCAAACTAAGGTAGAGAGTGTCCCAGCTCAGGCTGGGGTCACTGAGAGGGTCCCGGTGGCAGAGAAATGGAGCTTGCCCGAGACTAGACACCCCAGTGGCACCCTGCCAGCCCAGCCTGGTGGCCTGTTCTCCCTCCTGCAGCCTGGGCAGCTGTGACCACTCTGGTGTCCAGTGTCACACGAGTCCCCGCAGGGCTCAAAGCCAGCATTCCTGCTCGGGCAAAGGCTGCTGCCCCACCACGGCAGGGGCTGCCACACAGGGAAGAAACAGTTACTACCTCACTGCAGGAGGGGGTAAGGGAAGCCTTTCTTAGTCATCCAGCTGGCTAGGATGCAGTCTGGCATTAGATGAATTTGTCCACCAAAACTGGGTGATTCACTGCCATGGACAGGTGCTCTCCGTTCCATCAATTCCAGTAATGCCACGTTTGTCAGAAACCAGAACATCAGAGTTGTGTATGTGTACATAGATATCTATTTTAAAACAAACAGTAGACTATCCAGTATGTTTAAAGGTGGGGAGGGAGGGAGGGAAAGGGGAAGAACAGAGGTTTTTTTAAAGAGAACTACAGAAAAAGTACTTACACTGTGGAGGTCTCAATGTTTTTGCTGAGGATGTGGCTTCAGAATAGAAACTCTAAGAATGTAGCTGGGCTACATTTTATTTTGAAAGTGATTTCACAAAAATTTCTTGACGTTTTTGTCTTTCAGAAACTGTGAATAGCCAGAGATGTAGGCAGGCCCAGCACAGGAAAGGCCAGGGTGAGAAGGAGCAAGGTAGCAGAGAATGTTGAGCTTGGCTGGAGGCAGGGAAAGGGCCATGGAGCTACAGCCCCATGTTGTTTGTTACAGGGAAAGGATACAGGTGAGCCAAGAGAAAGTAGAGCTTGCCTCCAGGTGCTGTGGCTGGGCCATGTATTGGGGCTATTGTCTTATTATTTAATTTCTTTTCCAAAGACAAAAAAAAAAAAAGAAAAAAAAAGAAAAAAAAAGAAAAAAAAAGAAAAAAAAAGAAAAAAAAAGAAAAAAAAAGAAAAAAAAAGAAAAAAAAAGAAAAAAAAAGAAAAAAAAAGAAAAAAAAAGAAAAAAAAAGAAAAAAAAGAGTAAAAGTAGTTGCTACAACCATTTAAAGGAACAACTTTAGCAGAGGGTTTGTAGTGTTGCCTTGAACCTCCAAGCCCTTTGTAAGATGTGTTGTGGATGTAGTGCCCTTACCTGCTGTGTAGTGGAAGTGGCAGACTCCTGGCAAAGCCTATCTTTGTAATAAAACAAGGTGCTGAACCTATGGAGTGAGTTCCTGCCAAGCACACGGGGAAGACACCTGCACAGACAAGTTTTGCACATGCAAGGCAAGCCACATTTGGGATCAGCAGCCCAGAGAGAGCAGGTTTGTACTCCTTGTGTGGGGCTCTCCACACACCACTCCCACAGCCAGTGCCACCCTTCCTTCCCGGGCCAGGCACAGGAGGGGACAGTTGGCACATGAAGATCAGTAGCCCCACAGAAGCAGCTGCAGCCAGGCACCCTCACTTCTGTCAGGTGCCTCCCTGCACCCCGACACCAGAGCCCTTAACAACCACGGCACAGCTAAATCTTTCCCCTCCCCCAGTAAAAGCAGTGCTTTCCAGACACCAGAGGGATTTTCTTCTTCCACTAGGAAGTTGATTCTTTGCAAAGCTAAATCCAGACATTAAGTTATTTGGCCTTTCTCAAAGCAAGAGAGCTTTGCATTTCACACCTGGTGGCTGGTGAGAGGGAGGACACAGCCCCTGCCTGGTGCTGTTGGGGACATTGCCACATGGCTGCATGCTGCTGTGAGGCCACCCCCATCTGAGAATCCAATGACCTCTGCTCAGTCACTGCTACCCCATTCCCTACCCTGTCCCTGGGGGCACACAAGTTCCAGTTCCTTTAAAGATGCATCAGCATAGTCAAGGCTGAAGTTTAAGAGAAGCTAGTTTGCTCAGCTCTTGCTTAAGCCCCAGAGCAAGGCCAGGAGCCTTGGAGGGCAGTGGCAAGGCCAGCTGCAGATTAACAAAATCCTCTTTAGAAAGAATTTTACTTCCACTTACTTTCTCCCACCCAGGAAGACTTTAACCCATTACACGATCAGCATGACCTTCAGAAGGGCCCTGCTCTGGGCTTAGCAAGAGAAATTCAGGCAATTGAAGCTATTAAATGGAAGCGTGATACACAGGAGCTCACAAGTTTGTAGGTGGGAACTGTGCCATAGACCAGTAATAAGAGCACGAGCTGTGCTGGAGGCAACAGTAACACCCCAAACTTGGTTTTTGAGCCCTAAGACACCTCTATCTTCCTCTTACTATAGTTAAAGCACAGGCTGCTTCACCTCTGCTGGCAGACATCTGCCCATGGCATGAACTCAGACCTGCCACCCTGGTGCTCCTGTAATCCCAGCTCAGGCAGGCATTAGCACAAGGGCAGCCAGGACAACAGAGGGCTGGACACCTCACACAGGCTGTGGGCACATGGTTCCACAACAGCACTGACCATGCCTGAGCTTCTCTGTTCCTGATGGCAATGCCACCATGCTGTGTCCCATGGGTCTTGGGGTCCCTGCCTGTCACCTGGCACAGTCAGCCTGCACATATACAGCCCCTAAACCCAGCGGCCCCTTGGCACCACAGCTGGGACACGTGGACAGAGAGAACACCTCTCCATGAGGGCAGGCAGCAAGGCAAGCCACCTGCAGCATCAGCTCACCACCATGCCCTGCAGATTTTGGCAGAGAGATGGAAGCACAGGGACAGGGACCACAACAGTCATGCCATTCCATGAGGCAAGTGAAGAAGCTTTATTAGGATAAGGTGAACACAGAATTAAAACCTGTCCTAGGGACTGAAAGCAGTCCAGGCCCCAAGGGCCTGAGGCCAGCTGAAGCAGTAATAAGCTCCCTATGGGGCCTTTCTGTCTGCTGCCATGGGGACTGCCTTCTTCAGCCTGGCCTTCCCTTGCCCAGCTCCTGGAGTCGCCCGGGGCTTCTTTGCTTGACCTTGACCTCCCTGTGCCTTGGGGGCATCCTGCTGTGCCCCTTTGGGCACCTTCCCCTTGCTCTTTCCCTTGGGGGCCTTTTGAGGCCCCTTTGCCCCTGCACTTGCAGAACTGTCACTATCAGTCCCTCCTGCATTCTCAGCAGCCCGAGCTGTGCTGGGTCCCGAGTGTCCTTTCTGGGGGCCCTGCCGGTGGCTGGCAGCTCTGGGGGGCCCTGAAGGCCCTGGGCCATGAGCCTGGGACCGGCCAGCAGTCTGGGGATGCTTCGCTCTGTCACTCCTGGGCTTCTCTGCTGCTCGTGGCTGGGCCTGCAGGGAAGAGAAGAGAGCACCTCAGAGTGTTGCTATGCCATGAGCCACCCAACCCCACTGCTGGCCCCGACTCACCTTCACAGGCTTTGCCTTTGGCTGCTGCTTGGTGGCTGTTGGCTGCTGCTTGGTGGCACCTGTGAGGACGGGCAGAAGATGAGTCCAGGAGGGGCCAGGCACCGTGAGCTTGTTCACAGCACCAGCAGCTCTTTACCTCGCTGTCGTGCTCCTGCCACGGGGGCCTGTGGGGCCTTGGTGGTCCCTTCCTGTCCTGGCTTTGGGGTCTGTCCTCTGTCAGGATCTGCCTGGCCCGGCTGCTGCTTGTACCGTGATTTCTTGAGTGCTAACTGGAGGTGAGAGAGGGCTGTCAACAGGGCCAGGCAGCACCTCAGTCCCAGCCCTGTGGCCCCAGCAGCCCCTGCTCACCTTGAAGGTGCCAGTGGCCCCCACAGCAGAAGAGTTGTGGGGCCGCACCAGGTCCCCACAGCTCAGCCCCTTACTCAGCGCCTGCTTCAGCATGTACTTGAGGCGGATGGGATCCACAGTGGGGTACTTGGCCAGGATGAAACGCTTGATGGCAACAACAGAGGCACCCTTCTTCTCATCATGGGCCCGCAGCGCCTCCTTGATCATCTGCAGGGTCGGAGGGTGCTGGGCCTGACAGCGCTGGGCTATGCCAGCAGCTTTGGCTGCTGGAAGAGGGACCATTTGGGACTGGAGCCCAGTCCTGAGACACCCACACCCCCAGCAGCCTCAAAACCCCCAGAAGCCAAGCAGCCACAACCCTGCTCATCCCTGCAGCCCCCCAGGGACCCCAGCCATCATAGCCCAGAGCCTAAGCCAAGCTCCAGCTCTGAGGGACCCCACAGCACTTGCAGACCCCTTACCCAGCTGAGGCTCCATGGCAGTGCACAAACCCAGGCAGTCACAGGCACCCCAACCCACAGCACCACAAATCCTCCTGCCACACCTAGCTCACCTCCATCCAATTTATCTGAAGAGCAGCCTGGCTGCAGGTGCTGCTTGGGAGCTGCTGATTGCTGTGGTAGAAGCCCTGGTGGAAGCTGGGTCTGGAAGTTGAAGGCCCTTTGCCAAAGCTTTGTGAGGGGCTGGAGGGGGAAGGGGCACACCTAAGCCGAGGGTTTGGAGGATGAGAGATGGGAGTTTTGCAGGATGATTACCCTGAACAGGCAGATGAAAGGTGTCTATGTGCTGCTAGCTGGGTGTTGGGGTGCTGGGATTGCAGCTTGCTGACAACACTTGCTGTGGGGTGCACAGGGAACCAGCCCAGAGCAGTGTGAAGGTGGGATGTGCTGTCTCCCTTACCAGGTACGGCCTCACTAGGAAATGGGACTCTGATAATGGGGTGGGGGGAAGATTCCACAAGTGAGAGGAGGAAAATGAGGAGCTGCTTGGCTGGCCAGCAGAGGCAGGAGGAGCAATTCTCCCCCAGTATCCCCAGCTGTCACAAGCAGGACAACAGTTTTCCCCCACTCACTGAATCCCATGTTCAGGGGAAAGCACTCCCAGCCCTGGACATGGGCAGGCCTGTCACTCCCATGACCCCTCCGTGCAGGCACCTGTGCTTGTGAGGAGAACCTGAATGAAACACCACTGGCTCTTTGGTGTACAAACAGTGCAGATGTCCTCACTGCGGGGACCGCCCGCTTTATGCAGGACTCACATGGATTTTGTGTGCGTTGTCTGTTGGAAACATGAGGAATCACTGCCCATGGAGAACTTTGTCAAGGTCTGTGCTCACCTCTTGAGCCCAGGGGCCAGATCCTGGCTGAGGTGCCAGTAGGAGCCAGCTCTGGAGCAAGGAGCTGGGAGATAGACCCATTGCCCTCCTCCTCCCCAGACCAGCACCAGCCTGTTTATTGCTTCATTTCCAGTCCATTTCTGAATTCCCCAGGAAGGAGATAGTGGGGGCACAGGAGAGCTGCTGGGGCTGACACCACGGAACATTTGGATGCATTTCCTCATCCTGGCTCTATCCATCACTTCTCTGGTAGCTCTGTGATGCCTCTGGCACCTGGCTGAGCTGGCAGGAGGGTCCTAAACCCTTGCTTGCCCCTAGCACCAGCAGCAGCAGCCAGGTGTAAGTAACAGTGTGAGGACAGCCTGCAGGCTTGGGGCCAGGCCTTGTGCTGGGGCTGGTCCTCCACGAGTGGGAGAGCCACAGTGCCAGGCACCACCACACTCCGGTGGAGCACAGCCTCACGGACAGCAAATAATGCTAAATCCTTCCTCCTCTTCCCTCCAAAACCACCTCCCAGATTTGAAGTACATGAATCAGACATCAGCCTAAACACTGAATTATTCATAAAACTCTAATCTTTAGATTTCACTGAATATGCAGAAGTATCGATAAAAAAAATAATGAGAGAATTGTACTTGCAAATTGCTCTTTATTAAGGGTTTAACTTGCATGGGCTCTATACATTCCCTATTAGTCCTTGCAAAGCTGCATAGGATTAGAAATCAGAGAGGATAATAATGTACAAAAATAGTTTCAAATGTTGATAACACTGAACAGTGAGAAAAACATCTTATTTGTATAACTGAACTAAAAATAAAAATGAAGAACAGTGCTACAATTTCAATATGCCATCTTGTAGTGCTTCGAACATATGTCGGCCTTGCTGAGCCATATGCTGCTGGGTCGTGCCTGCTGCTGTGGAGGGGGATCAGCCCCGTGCCTCGATGGCACCAGAGCTGCCCAGAACCTCCTGCTGGGCCGAGGCCAGACCCACCGCAGCCAAAGTGGGGAGGGGCATGGGTGAACTTGTTGGGGGCTTGGCCCTAGGGGTCCAAAGATGCCTAAAGAAGAGAGATAGGACTGGGGGGAAGGGGTGCAGGGGGATCAGGAGCAGAGCTGCTGCCGAGGGTGCAAACTCTCCATGTGCTGCTGCACCAGTGCTGGAGACAGAGCACAGAGCTGGCCCCACCAGGGCTGCACGGCTGTGCTGTGCTGGCAGGGCCCTCCTGCCTGCACCGGTACCTGTCCCACCCCCTGGAGGAACCACAGGGTCTCCCAGGACTTCTGGCAGATGGGACAGCGCCAGAGCTGGGAGCATCTGGCAGAGCCAGGGCACTTTGCAGCACCCAAACGTGCTCTGGCCAGACAGAGCATGATGGGGCTGAGGGACTGAGCAGCACTGGCCAGGATCCATCTCTGGCAAAAGAGCCAGAAAGCGGCCCCAGCTCCGGCCCCGGCAGCAGCAGATGCAGAACATGCCCTGGCTGGGGTGTCAGGGTGGGGTGAGGGAGGCAAGGGCAGCACTGCCATGGCCCAGGCATGGCAGAGCTCTCCAACCCAGTCTGCACTCAGAGAAGGGACATGAGCTCTCAGCAAGTCAAAAGAAATGTTTGGATTTATGCCAGAGGAGCTAAGCCTTTGCATGTTAATTACAAAACGTGTGTACACATTTTCAGCCTTATTCCCAGGGTTCCCAGAGCCAGGAGCGAGGAGTGTGCCCCACTGGGCCTTGCCATGGTGAAGCAGGGGCAGGTGGTGGTGGAGGTGGGGGAGTTTGTGCTCCCAGGCCAGCACCCAGGGACTGGCTGCTCCCGTGGGGCCTATGCGGGAGAGACCTGGCTGGTGGAGACGGAGGAGGTCTCTGTCTTGCCAGCAGAGGTGTCCTCGTCACCCAGTGGGTTCTTGCCACAGCAGAGGGTTGTGATCATGCAGTTACGGAACTAGAGAGAGGGAAAGCTGGGGTGAGACACCTAGACACCATGCAGCTCTAGCTGCAGAGCCATCTTTAAGCTCAGCAGAGCTGCTTGGAAGCCCCCAATACTGTGGTGCAGGAGGAACTATGCCTATATGGAGTCTCCTGCCCCACTGCCTGCTCCCGTCCTGGCTCCTCCATCAACCCAGCACCTGCATTATTTCAGGTGGAATGGCCTTGCATTTGTGAGATTTATGCAACACCAAGGATGAGCTGCAGAGTCAGTTTCCCATGTGCCAGGACTAGATCTCCTGGAAACAGTCCCCACTCCAGACCACTGGCACCTTGAGATGCTGTAACTCTCTGCCAGCTGTTATAAACACAAAAGAGGAGTTCCCTGGCCCCCTGCCAGTTACCTGTTTGTTCATTACGATGTAGATCACAGGGTTGTAGATGGCTGAGCTCTTGGCAAAGAATGCCGGGATGGTCATGAAGATGGGCCCGAAGTCTGATCCCTGGTTGGTGAAGATGTAGAACGCGACGCTGGCATAGGGGACCCAGCAGACCAGGAAGGAGATGACCATGATGATGACCATGCGAGTCACTTCTTTCTCTGCCTTCTGGGTGGTGGCAGACTCCTGCTGCTGGGCGGCAGCCTGTGGGCAGAAGGGAATGGAAATGTGATAGAGCCAGTGGGTGCTGCACCAGTAGGGACACAAGGTCAGGGCTCACGGTAGTCAAGCTGCACATCTGAAGTTTGCTATTTCCCTCCTCATGGATGGCCAGGCTGGCCCCTGGAGGGCCCTCACTGTCACCGTTCTTGAGCCTGGTGTGGGCCCCTCCCCAGCACTGGGGACAGGGGTAGCCCTATTGGCCACTGCATCTGGCGGGTACCCACCTCCTTGACAGTGCAAACCAGGTTCCCATAGCAGAAGAAAATGATCGATAGTGGGATCATGAAGTGAACCACAAACATGTAGATGACAAAAGATTCATTGTTGACCTCTGGCTTCAGAGTGTAGTAGTCGATCCCGCACGAGCATTGCATGCCCTCGGGGATGTACCTGCAAGGTGAGCCCAGCAGGTCAGCACCCAGCACAGGAGACGGGCTGGAAGCCACAGCTGAGCCACCAGCCAGGCTCCCACACCCCTGACACTGGGTCCAGTTCCCTCCCTACCTGGACCAGCCGAAAAGTGGGGGAGCTGCACAGGCCAAGGCCATGATCCAGGAGAAGGCAACACCCATGATGGCATGGTTCTCCCCAAAGCGGAAGTTGCTCATGGGCTTGCAGACCACAACGTATCTTTCGATAGCCAGGACAACCAGTGACCAGAGAGCAATTTCACCTGCACCAGGGAGAGGGACAGAAAGGGACACAGGGACTTTGAGAAACAGGAAAATGATAAAACATGATAGCAGCATGAAGCTTCCTCAGACTGATGTTCCTGAGGACAACCCCTGGCAGCAGCTTAATCTCCACCGAGGGTTCGGAAAGATAAACGAAGAACGGTCAAGGGCAGATGTGGTGGGACAGAGTGAGAAGACCCCTCCTCATTGTACTGCTGACCCACAGGAACCACTTCGCTGCAATGTTTTGAGATTCATGGCAGATCCCACCATCCACCCCAGATAGCACCCACACCTGCAAGCCTGTGGTCACACTCCAATTTGCAGTGCCCATCATACCAGGACTTCCCCTCACTACCCACAGCTTCCCAGGAAACTTGTGCCACAAGGACCAAACCAGTAAAACTGGAGCTGTGGCTGAAGGCTGAGCCAAATGGAGAAGGGCATTTTTAGACACCCAATTTCTGTTTAGAATCTGTTTGGTTCCATACCATGCTGGCATGGGGAGGAGAGCCAGCTCCGCTTGCCTGTACTGCCATGCACCACACCAGAGCCAATGGCAGATTCAGCCCTGCAAAATGGGAGGAACAAAGTTGTCATTTCTCAAGTCAGAAAGTGAGCCAAGGAGATGTGCAAATTCAACAACTGCAACATCTGGTGTTGGCTGCTTTTCATTGCTGCACTGTGGTTCTCAGGATACTGAGCAGGTGGCTCCTAAAATAAAGTTTTAAAAAATAGTGTCACTTGTCACTTTCTTCAGCTCCTACCTGGAAACATGGCAAATGGCCTCAGTCCACAACTGCAGCAGGTCAAGGACATTACAGGTACCATGTTTTTCCAAGATCATTTTAGCAGTTTTTGCTCCCACTCCTAAAATCTGGGGAAATTCCTGACAGAAGACATTTGAAAATCAGGAGAACTTACCGCCCAGTGTGGCAAAGAAGCCTTCGATGTAGCACCCTGTTACTCCAAAGACAAAGTACCCATTCATGGAGGTGTACATAGTGGTTGTGAAGCCTCCAAATACCATGAAGAGGTCGGCGACTGCCAGGTTCAGAAGGATGTAGTTGAGAGGTGTCCGGAGCTTCTTGTGCTGGATGGTGACGTAGAGCGTGAGGAAGTTGATGGGGAAGCCGAGCAGAATCAACATGAACATGTAGGCAGCCAGCGCTGAGAACTTCCAAGGCTCAGCCAGGTAATACTGGGGGTACTCAAAGGGGCTCCTCACCACCCCGGTCTTGTTGGACATGGGCACGTAGAAGTCTTGGCCTTCTGTCCCGTTCATGGCTGCAGTTCGTGAGGCGCTCTTTGCGCTTACTCTGGGAGTTCTTTAGTGCAAGGGGGAAATTGTCTCTGAAACTGAGCTCCTGCCACCTCTCAGCCTCCACTGTCACCCCAAGGAGAACCAGTTACACTCTCCTCCACAGGGCACCTCTTATAAAGTGCCACCACCAGGGTAAGCTCCAGGCACTGGTGTCAGCATGATTAGGGTTTAGAGAATTATTAATCATAATCATCCCAGGGTAATTGGCTTTGCTGGGAAGGTGTTAAGGTGACACCAGTTTCTGGCCAGTGCTGTCATTGTTGGAGACCGTGGCTCATGGTCAGATATAAAAAGAGGTAGCTCTGCACCGCATCATTCATTTGGAGAGGCTCAAACCAAGCAGCAGCTCCCTTGCACAGCCTCACTCTTCCTTTCCCTTCCCCACTAACAGGAGGGACATGTGTGGTTCAAACCTCAGGACTGTGGGTTTGGGGGCCGGGTTGGGCAGGTGTGGCGTGGTCCCTCAGTGACAGAGGGACCACGCCATTCTCACAAGGGGAATGTGGATCTGTGAGACCAGCCAGTCCCCACTGGAGAGCCCTCTCCACATATTGCCAGTGGGAGGCTGCAGAAGGAAGGTTGACCAAACCTTCTTCCACAAGCTCCAGCCACCTCTCTACTCAGGATTTGGCTGTGGAGGTTTGACCACCACCGTGAAACACTTGGCCCACTGGCAGGTTACCAATTCTGCCATCTCTTTTATGTCTTTGTATCTGATTTGGGTCATGCCAACTGCATTGGTAACACCTAATAAATAACCTAGTCCATCTGTCCTGGATGGGAATCATTCTGCCATGGCGCTGAGAGGCTGCTGGACCAGGGCACTGATTGGGGGTTCAGAGCTGAAGCCAGCACTCAGCTTCATATGGTGGTTGACAGACAGCCTCAGGCTCCTCAAACCTTGCATAATCAAACTCCACAGGGAAGGCTATTGCTGGAGCCTTCTGTGCCCTGTGTGTCTCTGACTCACCACTCTATGCACCCAGTTTTGCTTGAAACATTCCTTGTGCCAACCAGCAGCTGAGTTACATGTTACCTTAATTTTTCAGAGGCAGTGGGACAAAATGTACAGGAGGTGAGCACAGAGACTTTGCTTTGCCCCTTTGAAGATGACAGAGGCTGGAAGGGAGCTGAGCACAGCCAGGAGCAGGTGAACGCCAGAGCCTCATCCAGTGCAGGAGGATGTCCCACAGCTGCTTGAGCTCACAGGTGCAAGGTGGGCAGAAGTTCATGTCCTCTGTGCCTTAATAAACTTCCTCCAGTCCTGGCCTAGTTTTCACCAATGTTCCTTGTAGGTTAGCTTAGCAATAAGTTTAATGGAAAAAAGCACTTTACTCTTTCTGGAGCAGAGTCCAAGCTGGGAAACCTGCCCTCTAAGTGGGGAAGGTGGAAGGAGCTGAAGCAGCAGCACAGACTGGGGCAGACCTTGCTGGCAGCCCAATGCAGGCCACAGTCTCTGGACAGTCCCAAAGGTCTTCCTTCACCTTAACACCAGGTCCACACACACTGCTCACCCTAAGTGCCTCTCAATTAATTTCTCACACTTGTTGCCAAGGCCAGAGTAGTGCCACTTTCTAACTGCAAATGCAGCTCTTTACACTTGTACCTGGCCATGCAGGGATTAAAGGTTTATTTCCTAAAACACTTTAAGCTGATGCAGTAAGTCACTGCTGAGGCAGCAGCTGCTGTGCAGAGCTTAGGGCTGGCGTGCGTCACCGCTGGATGCAGCAGTGGGACAAGCAGGCAGTGAGAGACAGGAACAGGGCAAATTGCTCACAACAGCTTCCAACCAAAGTGCTGTGGGGGGACCTCTTGTACCTGCAGGGACTCCTCAGCATGGAGCTGGTGGGCTCCATGGCACAGGGCAGCCTGGACTAGAACAGCTCCATCATGCATGAGACATGCACAGTGCTTCTGCCCAGAAAAGCCCAAAACGCTTTTCAAAGCTCGGCTACATTCACAGAGTTTAAAAAAAGCATTGGTCCATTTTGTCTTGGTCCATTTTGTCTTTGCGCCTTTCTCTCGAGTTTTGTAATTTTTCATTCCCACTGGCACTGCACAGCCAGCTCAATTCCAGAAGGAGCTGAATTCCACCCTGGCTCCCATCTCAAACAGCATTGTTTATCCATGTCAATAGCAGAGTCTTCACTGCAAACAGTGACAGCTGAGTCAGAAAGCAGACGAGCTGTAATTAGAACAGAATGTTTTTAAAGTGGTAAATCAAGCAAACTTGGTCAGGAAGCACCGAGGGACTCGGAAACCCGGCAGTGTGATTGCAGGGTCTCCTTTTCCAGAGGAACTGGCGCAGACAGACATCCCGTTTCACGTGCAAAGTGCTCCCGTGGGAGCTGCCCTGCCAGCACCAAGCACCTCAGCCAGTTGCTCATGTCCTTTCCCACTGAGGGTAAAGGCAGGCTGGAGCAGACAGGCTGCCATCACACCAGAGCTCAACACGGGCACAGCTGCTGCTGGCTTCCAGTCGAGAGCAGCACCACTTCCCAGCCGAGCTGGTCACCCACGTGCATCTTCCTGCTGCTGGGAACGAGCCTGTGGCCATGGTCACCGTGTTCCCCTGCCCAGGGGGTACACTGGTGTCACTGGCACAGGGTTTGCTTCCCCCACAGCAGCCTGGGGTGCTGTGTGCTGCTGGCTGAAGTGGGAACACACTGGTGCTGCAGCGGGGCTGAGCGTTCTCCCTGCTCTGCCCCCTCAGCAATGGGAACAGAGGGACACACCTGGGACAGCTGGCCAAAGGGCTGTGCCACTCCAGATGATGTTGTGCTCCAAAATAAAAGCTCAGGGAAAGGGGGAAGAAGGGAGGATGTTGTGTTTGTGGTTTGTGCTTGCCTTCCCAAGTGAGTTACTCATGCTGAGCCCTGCTCTCCAGGAAGCAGGGAATAAATTCCTTCTTGCTTCCCTTTACTTTCAAGCAGAGCTCTGCTTCAGCTACTAAGCTGTCTTTATCTCAACACAGGAGTTTCTTGGCTTTTGCTCTCCTTTCTCCTGCCCAGCCCTGTAGGGAGAGCCAATGTAGGGGCTCAGGCACTGCCTGGGACTGATGCCCCCCCAATGTCTTGTGCCTCCAGATGAGGCTGCAGCAGAGAGCAGCAGGTCTGTCTCCTCCCACCTACACACAGAGCTCAGCTCAGGACTGACACCACGCTGGGGACACCGTGCTCAGCAGCACTCCTTGGCACAGCCCTCCGTGGCAGCAGCACAGAGCTCAGGTGTGCACAGCCTGACATGCTGCTCTTCAAAGGGTGAATTCCACACAGACTCAGCCAGCACCTACCTCAGGGGGGCTGTCAGATGCCCCCAGTGCCAAGAGTAGTGGAACTTTTCAGATTGTATTTGAAGGGTTCTTAATGCTGCTCTTGCCTAAATGGAATAGAAAGGAATAAGAAATTCAAGATCAGAAGCACGAGTATTATAGCAACTTTTGAGACAATAAATAGTGAAAAATAGTCCCATTTATTTGAAGATCTGTCAACTGGTGTGTGTTAAGGAGCACAATCTGGAGTAAAAACCAATTACTTATAGGTTGAACTTGATCCTAGAAATGTTCCTGTAAAATTCTGTGGCACTTGCTGCTTGTCTGGAAAATGCAGAGCACATTCACAAAAACCAGACATTTTAATTTTAAAAAATAGTTACAATTCTTCCACTCTTAGATACAAAATGAGACAAGATGATGTAACTAAGTTATTAGGAAAGCTCTACAGATATAAGAAGTGTTTTGCCGAGCCAACAGGAGAGTCTGATGTTGAGGTAAAAGGCTGGTTTTCTTCACTGGTTTGACTCATCTATTCTCCGCCGACAGAACGGACAACAATTATGCTGCAGTATGAGGAGCTCATAGTCTTCTGTGTGAAACATCTGTCAATTAAGAACATATTTAAAACAAGTTAGCCTGTACCCTGCTCAAGAAAATGCAAACTGAGCTCAATGGCTGCTCAGTATCACAGATATTCTGTGGTCACACAGAAGTGATCACAGAGAATTGGCCCTACAGCCTGGAACAGAGCAGCAAGCACTTCCCAGACCTCTGCCAGTGCTGCTGAGAAGGCACAAACCCATTAACTAATCTTGCAAAAGGGTGGACAATTAGGCAGTTGTGTAAGGAAACATCACTGAATTCCAGCATTTTAAAAAGTCATTTCTGAGCGAGGCATGAGCAGGACTGAACCACAAGTAATGGTCACTGACTGGTTTTTCTTGCTAGACCAAGCTGCAAGTCAAAGAGACAGAGCAAAAGGAAATAAATACAAATCAGCTTCTGTTGGTCAGCCAAGGTTTGCTCAAGAGGCTCTGACTTGCTCTCAGGGCAACTTCTCAAATTCAGCTACGGCCAAGTCTCCCAAGGCAGCTGCTCCTCTGTCTATCACACAGCTCAGAGCTGGGGTTTCACTGCTCTGCCTCACGCAGGAATTTGCTGAGTACATCTTAGAGTGTGAGGTTTCTACGATTAGCAGAGTTTCACCCATCAGGTTTGGTCAGGGCTTTTTGTTTATTTCCACACCTGTGGCTGGAGCAGTACCTGGAAGCAGGATGGACACATGGTGATGGAGGCGTCGGGCAGCAGGGAGCGGTAGTACTGCCAGCGCAGCGGCCGCGGCCAGCGCTTGATCAGCACGTCCCTGCGGCTCATGGAGCGCAGCACGGCACGGCTCACCACCACCGGCACAAACTCCGAGCCTCCCTGCTGCACATGCACAAACAATCGCTGTTAACAAGCCCTTGGAGCATTTCTAAGTTGTTGTAAGAAGCAAAGTAAAATTCAGTAGAAGAAGCTAATGCAGAACTGGCCCAAGCTTGTCCCACCAAACTCCCCGTCAGTTTTATCCAAACCTTCAGCATCCAGCCACATCTGTTTCCAGTGAGCTTCCCTTATCTCTTTAACACAATTCCTTGCAAGTAACAGCCGTGCTCACAGTCTCTATGAAACCCTCCCAGTAAGGCCTGCTCTACAGGTGTGTTGCTGCTGTACCAGTGCATGGTGAGGAAACAAAATTCTAGGAGTGTTTGGTTTAAAGTATTTGTTGTTTTGTGAGGTTTGTGTTTGTTTGTTGTTTGGGGGGTTTTTGTGGGGGTTTTGCTGTTTAGTTTGTTTGTTTTGAGGGGTCTTGTTTGTGTTCTTAAGGGAGGAGTTAACTGGTTAGTCCATTTCCCTCTCAAGTGCCATCCCTCTTCCCAGTTCCCTGCTCTGCAGCTCTCTTTGTACCACATACACACCAGAAAAGCAGCTTTGTAAAGTAAAATTTTCTATTAATTTCTGTTGGTAAACACATGTACAGTTCTTACCTCAAAGCTCAGTTTTGCTGTAAAGGGATCATCATCTTCAGTTATATCTGTATTGTCATCAAGCTTCAAACTCTGAGTATCTGGATGCATGTCTTAAGGAAGGACAAGAATTCATGTAAAACTGGCTCTGCTTACCATAGGCAGCACTGACAGAATCAGTGTGAGAGCACCCCAGCAGGATCAGTACCCTTGCCGCTTCAGAGTATCTCAAACTGTGACAGTGCCCAGGCCATTTTACACAAAGTACCAAGAAGGCCTTGCTGGGATTTCCAGTGCCTGGGGAAGTTTATCACTGCAGCTGCTGTAGAACAGCCAGAAGAGACTGACCACAGCCAGGCATGACATCAGCTCTTACCCTTCCACAGATGACAGAGCAAAGAAAGCAATCCATTGAATTTACATTTTTGGGCAGCTTTAGTCAGAATTTGTGTGTTCTTGTGCAGTACTCTACATCTCATGTTCTATAATCCCCCCAGCAACTGGGAGCTCTGGATGCCAAAGCATTCCAAACCAGATCTCAACAGGAACAGTTGTGAAGTGCTACTTCCCTTGGCTGAGAGAAAGCAGCCTCTAAAGGAAGCTGTTATTGGAGGCAACACACTCCAGATTCCCCCCATCCTTGTCAGAAAGCAGTCCACACAGGATAGGTAAAGCATGGCATTTCACTGTTAAAAATAAACATTGCACAGGATTATAACTAAACTGTCCTGATGGAAAAGCATCTTAACAATATTAGGTTTAGCTAAACCATATTTTGGTTGTTATACTATATATACTGTAACATGACAAAGAAACAAGATGCAATTGTACTTACATCAGTCATATGACAAAAAGAAAGGTTTAAATCTAGGGGGAAAAATAAACTCAAAATCGTTTCATTTTTCCCTAAGAAAACGAAACCAATTCTAATCAAAAGGATACGGTCACTCATCATCTCTTGCCATTTATTCTCTCTTTTACTCCTTCTTGGAGCTTCAAGATCAATAAGAGCTACAGCTTCTTCATCTGTGATGCCATCTTCCAAATAGAACTCAACCAGATGCAGCACCTCTAAAAGTTGGGAAAGGCAGGAAGTGTTTGACCTGCAGGAGCTCAGGGAATGGCTCATGGCAGATACTGTGCTCCTTCACATCTGTGGTGCTCTGCCCACCTTCTCCCATGAAACAAATTAACTAAAATAAAATTACAGCAAACCAAACCCCCTGCATTTCTGAAAGGATTGTGTTTACCTTCACAGAACACTAGATGCATTGCAGTGTCTGGCCATAAAACAATGCTCTGCAGTGAGAGCCAACAACCCCCACTTAGTGCAATTCAACAACAGTAAAGCAAGCAAACGTGATGTCCCAACGCACCGTAGGAGGAGGCCGAGAAGACGAAAGGCTGCCTGCAGTTAATGCAGACATTCCCCAGGTTATTCAGCAAAGGGTTGTTGGTGGAGCACCTGTAACACAGGGGCACGAGCTCCTGAAAAGACAGGTTGAGAGCATGGTAATCACAGACCTGCACATCCCCAGCTCTTTGTTTTCAGTTAAATACGGCCCCTTCGGCTGACAGCACTGACACAACACCAGCACCAGTCTGCAGAAGCAGTGCTGTGAAATCAGATCCTTCAACATCTGAAAATGTTTCCCTTTTTAACAAACCAGCAAGTTCTCCCATTAAAAATAGCTGTCTTCACCATTTTAACAATTAAATTTTCACCTTGCCTTTGCAGTAAGAGAAGCAGAATTCTGCATCAAATACACAGGGACAAAAAGAAGCTGAAGAGAAGTTTACTGAAGCAAAGTTTTTTGCTCTAAGATTTGGTCAAATTTAGGTTCCCCAATTAATTCCTCTCTTTTCAAGAGCAGAGTTATTTTAGGCAGTTCTTAAAGGGTGTGTTTCTATTATTTCAGGAGGCCAGGTGCATGTTCACTGGTACAATGCAATTTATTTTTAGTGAGTACTCCCTGAGACATGGCTTTATAGAACACTGCAGAAAGCCAGACTTCAGTGAAAGAAGAAAAGGTGTTAAAATAAGATTTACGGAAGGAAGGTCACTGAAGGGATGGAGGGAGGAGGAAAAGAGTGCTCGGAGTGGGATAAATGAAAGTGACCTCCAGCTGGAGAGAGAAACAAAGACTGTGGAACAATAGCATGTGAACTGGGGAGAAAAGGGCTTGGAAGAATTAATCGGCAGTGAAGAAGGTGACTGCAAGAGAGGAGAGGGAGGATGGAAGCTGCCCACAAAGAGAGGGCTGATTTTAATTTGCTCTCAGGAGCAGAATGAAGTCTGACTTGAAGAATAACAATAAAAGGACTGTGTTTCCAGCAGAAACAATAATTATATCACAGAGCCATGAATAATGTATTTCAGATTGTTTTGTGCACACAGGATCTCATATTCTAGGATTAGGCCACATATTAATGATTAACATGAAACACATTACAGCTTACTTCACTGTCATGGAATGGCTTGGATCGGATTGTCAGGCTGCCCAGCTCCACGGATTTCTGGAACCTGTCTGGGATCTGCAGTCCATGCAGCTTGTCATAGGCATGACGAGCCAATTTATATGCACCAAGAGCTTTACTCTGCTTTGCCAGGGCCAATAATGTATTGCTATAATTCAATTAAGGAATAAAAATACATACAACATTTAGCAAAAAACACAATATTCTGTCCAATCATGGAAGTTGTGCAATGAAGCATATCCAGCTCTGGGACTTCAAACAGGCTTTAACCAGAGAAATCTATTTACAGAACTTCATTTACAAGCATGTGTGAAAGGACTATCAAAACATCCGTGGGCAATTATTAGCAAGGTAAGGAACGACCTTGTCAGGAATGACCCTACATAAATGCTGCTATGGTTAAATATTCTGACTCCATTTACAATATTTCAGTAATTTTGGAGTGCATGCATTTTCCCCCAGCCAATTAAAAAAAACAAAATCCAAACATTTTTTACAGCATAAGTAACCCACTGACACTGAGTAAATACACCTGATGTGATTTGAAGAGTGTGCCCCATGTAGTAGCCAGATGCTGTCCTTCCCTTTCACCAGAGTGAAACAGAAACTGCTGTTTACACCTACTGATCACAAGGCCTGTTTTCAAAGACTTCATGAAAGATTCTATGTAAGTGAGGAAGTTATGAAAAAGAAAGCTAACATCCCATCCAAAGCCAGCAATGAAGTCAAACCAAGACAAGGCGTCCCTAGGGCATCCAGTGACCTTCTGGCATCTCTTCCAGAAAGGTGCATTTCACTGGGCTCACACAGCCCATTTAGGAAATGCTCCCCAGAGCTCACTAGGCACTAACAAAACCATGCAGATGTTGGCTTGACAGGCCACACCAGCCTCATGGAAAGCAAAAGCTCCTGGGTTCCCCCACTTCTGTTTCAGATCAGTCTCCCTGCACCAATACCATCAAGATTCAGAGCCAACAGCTTTTTGCAGACTGTGGTGTCCTAGAACGTGCCCCTGTGACACAGGTGACACACCAGACCAGACAGGTGTTCAAGGTGGCCTTGCAGAGTTACATGTTAGTTGATCTGCACGGCTCTCCAAAACTATAACAAATAAACTAGTGCACAATAAACTCAGCACACAATAGTTTGAAGATGCTGATTATTCCTAAGGGACAAAAGTCAGTTCCCATTAAAAATAACTAACAGCTGACACTGAAGATTCCCTGCAGGACATCCCTGCCTTGGACCAACAGCAGTTATTCCTTTCATGTATCACATGATAATTTCTAGATTTTTTTACTGTACTGGAAGGATACACTTTTGAGATCCCCAAAGGAGTCTCCTTTGTTAAGCTGTGAAGCAGAAATCTGGAAATATTGAAGAGAGTTTCAGGCAAGTGGAAGCTGAAAGGCTCCTCCTGTGGTATCAAAAACATAGACACACTTTTCTAAGCTGGAAAACCAACAACTTACATCAGTAAGCAACACAGCACAAGGCATCTCTAGTACTGTGTTTCTTTCATCCATTGAGAAAAGAGGTGTTGACAGAACATAATGACTGGCTTTTGCATGTCTTTATCACCAATATCATACCTGATACATACAGAAGAGAGACAGAGAGATCAGTGTGGCTAAGACAGAACCTTTAACAGGTTATTTAAAAATGAGGGCAGTCTGCACAGCCACAGTGCAGAGTCTCTAGCGCTGTGAGATCTGCAGTAGTCAGCAGAGTAGACAGCAAAGACTCCACAGCACAGAGTCTTTTTGGGCAAGGGCACAGAGCAAAGGTTCTCAATGTTTTACAACAGATACTTGCACCAACAAGGATGGCAACACAACTCTAATTGCTGGAATTAGTAGGAGCTCCTCACTCGTGACTGCACATCAGTGACACACATAGCACCCTGTGCAAATCCCTAGGCTAGCATGCCTTCTTCTGTTCAACCCTGTTTTCCAATGACTAAGGAAAAACTGCCCCTGGCCTGTGCAGGAGCACAGGCTCAGGTACCATGGGACCAAACCAAGGCAACCAGCAAAAAGGGCCATGGGCAGGAGGGAGGTCAGGCATTGGCACAGCCCTGCCCCACCTGCAGCCCTAAGGAGCTGAGCAAGTTCTTGTACAAGACAGCTGAAGACTGTCTAATAAAATAAAATAAAGTTAAATAAATAAATAAAGTTACTATACAGTTATCACTGATGTACATTCAATAATTTCCTGAAAAGGCCTAGTTATTTCTGGACTCCCTATGGAGAAAACCTCAGGAAGCATAAGTACACAATTCTAAAGAGGGTATCTTACAGTGTATCTTTGAATAAAGTGATAGACATGGTAAACTTCTGCCAAATGCTGGAAGTGATGAAACTTCTTCAACATTTCAGTCTGCTGTCCTTGGTTCTCTGTGGGAGGCAAAGGCATTGGTGTCAGTCTCAAAGAGCAGGCTGTGAGACCCAGCTGGAGGATTTTAGCACCAGCACTGTCCGAGGAGGTATGCACCAGGTCATGTATGGTCCCTCTACCCATGCAAGTCATGTGTTTGCAGAGTTGCTACTCTTCTGAGCAAACCTCTGGCCTGAAACAAGCATGGCAAAACACAGAACAGATGAGGCAAGGGTTTGACACAGCCAGAGGCTACAGCTGATCTACAGGGGGAAAGCAGCAGGTGTGCATCCCTGGAAACCTCTTCCAGAATGCCAGAGTTCACAAATACAATTAGTCTTTAAAACTTTCACAAATACCAAATACACTACTAAGCTGTTTGGAAAAATGTGCATCTCAAACACCTGAGGGGTGACAGATCAGCTGAATGAAAACCAAAGGGACTTAGAGCACCCGGCAAAGGCAGTATTCCAAATCTTCTGTATTCATTATCACTAAACTACACCTATTAACTACTAACACCTCTCTCTCAGTGACATACACTTGGGAGACAAGATGACAGCTAGCAATCAATTGGTTTTACCTGTTGGCAGAAATAATTTGTAACCTCCCTAACCTATATTCAGACACTCGAGGTAACTTACTCTCCAGTATCTTTTATTTACTTGCACATTAGCCCTCCAGACAATAGGTGTGGTGGGAAGGTACAGGAGGATACATGGTCCCAGGAGGCAGGGTTTTCATCCCAGCCAGACTTCAGAAGGAGCCTTGTGACTGCTGATGTTGCTGGTTTGTTTATTTGTTTTAAATTAGCACATGGGAAAAACAGGGTACTACAAAAATAGTACAAGCCCGAGATATGCACAGCAGAAAAACCCCAAACCAAGCCAGGCAGCAGTGAAGCAGCTGCAGCAGTGCTATCACAATGCAGGAGCTGTTTGTCTACGAGCACAATAAGGTAACAAACACACGCTTCCTTTCGGTGACTCACCTTGGGCTATGTCTAAGCACTGCATGGAAAGCATCCAGTAATAATAGGCTGCGTCGTTAAATCGGCTTTCAAGCACGGCGTTGTGTGTTAACTGCTCCAGCACCTGCACAGCCTCTCTCTGCCTGCCAGCCTTGTGAAACGCTACAGAGCCCAAAACAAAGGGGAGTTTACAGTGTGATTACATCAATTAACGGAAATTAATGTTTTTGAATTGAGAACAGTCTATTTAGCTCATATCAAACACTCTGTCCAGGGCAGGATAAAAGGGATTATACACCGGTATTTTCCTCCTTGAAAGCAGTGACACTAATGGAACATGAGAAGAACCTGTAGGCATTTTGAAGCTTTTACACTGTCTCAGCAGCTCTTGAGTTCAAGGAGTATGTGTAATACTGGTTGCTGGTTTTTTTTTTTTAAATAGAAAAGAGAGAAGATGCTGTGATGATTAGATCTCTGTACAAACAACAGTGATCTCCAAACACTGAAAATCACAACTTCACTCAAAACTACAATAAATTGTCTGAAGTCAGTGCTCTGGTGTGTATGAATGCTTTAAAAGTACTGTGCTGAATACTTTAAAAGAATACAGCTACTACACCCTTCTGTCATTTACTAACAGCAGCACCTTTTCTGATGTACCAGGTAACATTGTGAATTCTCACTTGGCAAACATGCATTTGGCCAATGCAGTCTCCATATGAAGGAACTGGGCTGAGGGGGACCCAAGCCCAAAAAGCCCAACCCCACAGCACTGCTGCCCCCTGAGTGAAGCCAGCCCAGCTTGAACCAGACCTCACATTCTGTTCTGAGACCAGAACAGTGACATGAGGACCTCCAGCTCCTCTAGGTCTGGGCACCTACACTTGCTGAGCCTCAGCAGCACAGAGCTTTGTGGAGCAAATGGGGCCTCTAACCCTCATTCAAGAGAGGGCAAACTACCACCTGCCCTAAAGCAGCTGCTCCAACACTCACTGCCAAACTCCTCTGGTGTGGAGGCAGATCAGACCCAGCTCGTTCCCTGCCTGGGCCCTTCCAAGCCAAGCAGTTCAGGACCCCAGCTGGCTCAGGAACAGCAGGTGCACCTGGAACTGCACCTGAGCCCAGGCACTGCACAGAGCTCACTCCAACAGCTCCTTGTCTCTCAAAGAGTTTGTGGACTGAATTTTGAAGCCTTTCCACAGGATTGAAAGTTGATGCTTCTGTTCAAATGTAATCTTCCAAGCCAAACAAACCCCACAAAAACCTTAAAGAAACTGGAAAACTTGACTTGCACAAATCCAGTATTACCTAAATAGAAGGAAAAAATACATTTTTCATGTAATAAGAGGGCTTTTTCACATTTATAGGAGGGCTGCCATATTCTGAATTTTTGTGGGATAAAAAACTTACAACAGTCAAGATTATATGCCAAATACCTCTTACATGCCACATTCAGATACACAACAAGACAGAAAATCTGGACTTATATTTAGATGCCATCATTTTTGATAGATCCATCACATTTTCCTATAAAGTAAGATTTCCAGTTATTTTAAAACCAATATGAAAACATGGGTTATATTTGGTTTTGAGTACCACTGATAAGAAAATTTGCCAGGGCAGAGTCTGCATATTCTGGAATAAATGTGGAGTGAGCAGGGATCTGTCAGTGACATTCTCACCTTTTTGGGCTTCTTCAAATCGATCATTCTCTGCCAGCCACTGAGCATAAGGGACATAGACTTCATCTTTGAATTCAGGATGCTTCTCACTCAAAGCAAATGCCTGATATAAATAAAAAATCATTCTTAGAATAGTGCATAGTTTAAACAGTTAAAGGGTTTAAAATATTCCATGGGATCAATGCTTCAGCTCTAAGAAAATTCACAATGAAACATATACACAGAATAGAGGGTGTAATTCGTATTTTCTCCAGTATGAAACTTACGTGTTTGAAAATAAAAAGCAATCAAAAACAAAAGAAAAGAAGCTTAGCATAATAACAGACTGACTATTGAAACAGAAAGACTTGAAAGTGATTATCTGGGAAATTTAGTAGATTTCCCTGCAAGAGACAAAAAATATTTATATTTTTACTGAATACATCTTCTAAAGGAATTGGAGTATCACCATAAATGCAGTTCAGATTCACTTTCAGAAAACCACACCACTGCCAAATACATGCTGGCATACACAATTAACTGAATACTCTGAATCCTTCTGCAGAAGCCTCCCATCCTCCCCACCTGCCTCTCCCTCACTACAGTCCTGGGGAAGCCAGACATTTGCCCCCTTTTTTTGTTGCAACCAGTGACAGTAAGAAGCAGTGGTTTTCAAAACAGAAATTAAGGGCACACTTACTTCTTCCCAGCGATGAGTCTCCACGTGGAGCTGGACCAAGGCTTTCAGGTCACCAGCCTTCATGTAGATTTCTGCAGCATAGCCGGGGTTATCAAGTTGCTTAAAATAGAAGGCACATTTGGCCAGAGGCTCACGCTCAGCTTTATCCAGTTTTCGAGCAATTTCGATTAACCTAGACTCAGCAGAAAGAAGCCAGATGTTTCAGATTCTGCCTTGGTGCTTTGCCTTTTGATTATTGTCATAACTTCACCTTTAATCAGTTAACATTTAATAAATATCCTAATGGTACTACCATGCAACACCGTTTAAACAGTTTCAGTAAACAATCCAAATAACTTTCTCCTTTTGCAAACTCCAACCCCTTCCTTCCCTCTTTGCTGACATTCAGCTCTGTATCTCAGACTCTGTGCAGAGCTGTGCAGATGGAGGAGGAACACGTCCTGCACGACTCAGTGGCACAGGACACACTTCCCCAACCCTGACCTGAGCAACAGGCTCCTGAATAAATATCACCCCCTGTGCCACACAGCAAAGCCACACAGCAAAGCAGAGGCAAGGCCAGCCTGAGGGGCCTGGCCAAGATCTTAAGGCAATTCAGCAAATGACCCAAAGTGCCACCTACATTGATGAGAAATGTCCAGCAACAGGAGTGGCCACAGAATTTCTAAAGACTCTGTGCTCCAGGTGACTTCTCTACCCTCTAGATGATCACTCTAAACAGCTGACAACAGCAGCAGTGGTCTACCTGGTACAACTACTGCTGTGAAAATTACTCTGAAGGCATTCAGGCTATTTTAGACAATCTCAAACCCATGCATACTTCACTGCTGTAATGCATTTGTTTTTGTAACATATTTATGGCCCTACCCTCTAAACATATGCAACTTTTAAAACATTTTTAATCATAGGTGTTTTTCAGCTACTCAATCTGATATAAAGGCAGATACCAAATACATTTGGTCTTCTTTTAAAATTATGTGGAATTCATGGCATCTCATTCAAGCTTTTATTATACATTATCTCTGAGGTGACAAAAGACCTACATATCCACCCAGCCGTGGTCCCCGCTGATTTCGATGGCCTTCATGTGCTCGCCAGCAGAGAGGTACATCTCCACTGCTGCCTTTGGCTCATTGATATCCTTGGCCCAGTCTGCTTGCTTTTTTATCAGCATCTTTGTGTCTTTGGGATCTCCAGATCCCAGAAATTCCTGCAATAGTGCAATACAAAAGTCTGCATTACCTTCTGGTCACAAACATCATTACAGTCTAAACTCTAAAACAGATAAAGGCTTTTGAAATGGATATTATGATGCCTCCCAAGGACAGAAATACTCCATGGACTGAGTCAGCCTTCAGCAGCTCATCATCAATGACTGGGAGGAAACAATGGCACGTCTCCTATTTAGACAGCTCTGAATTAAAAATAAAAAAGCAGGAGGTTGTGGCCAGGCCCAGAGAAGACAATGCTGGTGCCTCAGAGGCAACACTAATGTCCCTCTTGCTCTCTGCTAAGCCTGGATACAAGTTATGATTTCTGCAAGCTTGTCAGGAACAGGTCTTCCCAAAACAAAGTGGTACTAATCTAAAAACTCTAACAGATCAATTCCAAGTTTCAGATCTTCTCTTGCAAGCCAAGCAGGTATGGATTCATTGTCCAAGACAACCCAGTCCCAGCCCACGCTCAGTTAACAGCAGCACATCCTGTTAATCACATGCTGGCATCAGGATGCCCCACCACAAATCAACTCAAGGCTGAAATAATTATCAAGTGTCTTTGCAGGAAATAAGAGATTTTAAAAAATATATCCATGAAGTTCTTTTATAAGGACAAAACCACAGCTGCTCAAAAGTGAGAATGCCCTGATGCACTGCCTGGACTTGTGGAAGAAAGGCAAACACCAAGTCTGGAACCTGTGTCAACAACCATTTTGGAAATATTTCTAATAGTTAGTTCAGCTTCTTCTGCCAATACTAAAGCTCTGGCACCATATGGTTCACATCTGTTGACATCATGTGCCAGGAAAAAAATATAAAACCCCCCTTCAACACCAGAAGATCGATTAAGGGCAATTTTTTCTGTTAACAGAACAGGCTACTGCCCATTAAACAGCTTCTATCAAAAGAAAAATCAGAACAGAGGAGAAATGACAGGTGGGAAAAGAGTGGAAAACTGTGTATCCTCTGTGTTTCTGGCAAATTCTGATTGAGGTTTAAAAAACCAAAACCAAAGCAACAAATGGGCAAAAACCTCTACAGGGAGCACCCACACACCAGATCTGCTTCACCACTGCAATTCAGCAGTTCCCTGCTGCAGCCAGAACTGCACCCCAGCTGGGCCAGCTCTGACTGAGCCCCAGCCCTGCTCCAGGAGCAGCCACACAGGTATCCCGACAGCCCCTGGATATGGAACACTGCACTGAAGAGTGAACTCAAACAATCTCTTTGGTATGACTTGTCTCCCAGCTTAGGTCACCAAAATAAGCCCAAAATCAAAAGCTAAGCTCAGCTTCCCACAGTATAAAGAGTTTTTTTGTGAATTGCCAGTAATTAGTGATCTGGTGCTGTGATAACGAGCCTGTGACCAGATATCAAAGGACTCCCAACCTCTGCCTCCAGTCTGACCCTCCACCCAGACCTCATCAAAGTCCTGCACAAGAACCCAGGTTCTGTGGGTCCCTTTGAGTAATTCTGGCAGCATCTGACATGACAAAAACACACCCTCCCTCATGTATTTCCCTGGATAAATAACTGGCAAACAAGGAGGCTTTACATGTTCTCCAATGTCCTGTGCACTCCCTGCACAAGAAGCTGCCTTATAATAAAGTACCTTGAATTTTTCTGCATGGAGTCACTCTGAAGTACAGGAGACATGAAACCTCTTGCTCTCTACTGGTTAAATTTAGACATGACTGCAGCCAAGAATTAAAAGATTCTTACAAAGACTTATGGGAACATTTTCCTGTATGAATTACATTTATGTTCAAGAGGAGCCAAAATACTGAAGCTAACAAAGACTCATCAGCCAAAAATAGCGGAAGTCAGGCTTACATCAGCAAAGCCCCCAAATGTTTCTGTTGAGCTCTTGGAAGAAAAAGATCTCTCTGCAGCATGGCTTGGGGAATCTCTGCTAAAGAGTTTCTGTGCATGTCATGGTGAATTCTTTGTCCTGGATTGGTCAGAATAGGGCTCTGATGAGTGATGAATGAGACTAAACAGTGCATGCATTCTCAGGGATTTTGATAAGAAAACACCACAAAAGACTTAAAAGCCAAATAATGCTTCTTATCACCATATAAAAACATCACTTTTTATAATTATATTCCATTTATTCCTACATGGAAACAGAGTTTTAAAAAATGTCAGGACACTCAATATTTGGAAGAAATTCTGTAGTAAACAAAAATATTCTAGGTTAGCATATTACACAGTTTTTAAAATGCTTTGATATAGAACTGACTTACTCCAACCCATAAATATATTTTTATTATAATATGGGTACTACCTTGTCATCTTTGGAGGACGAACAAATAAAAAGGGACTCTCAAATGAGATAATAGAGAAGAAGGAGTGATAAGCCCAGCATTTTTAGTTTTAAAAGAAGGAAAATTACTATGGATAATACTATGTAATCACAAGAATTATTGGTGGTGTCCACCAAAAGAGTTGGCAGCAGACTCTAAAGGAAAATGCCACCATTACACCCAGGCCAGAGACACATTTCCCCTTATAAGCCAAATGACCCCCAAACAAATACCTGAGAAAATAAAATCGGAATTCAAAGCCCACACTTCTTCCAAACCTTTTGTAGGATCATATTTGGGAAACAGCTACATCAATAATTTCAGTGTCCAGGTGCCAGTCCTACCTTGGCATGGTCGAACATGCGTAGGTCTGAGTACATCTCCAGGGCCAGGTTCTCGTGGCCACTCCTCTTGTACAGCTTTGCTGCCTCATGGAATTTCCCCTGGTAGGCAAAAACATCTGCCAGGAACAGCTCATTGTTGTTCTCACCGTGCTTCTTCCGGTCCTGGAAAAATAGAAACACTGAAGAGAGATGTAGAAAATATTCCAGGTGATCAGCACCTAGGTGAGAAATAGCCTTTGAGGAATTAGATTTTCAGGGTTAGATTTTAACTATTAATAATTAAAACCTGTAACAGGATAGCATAATTATGCCTCTCCTACATTTTTGGTGAATTTATAATGAAAGTATTAAATCCCTTCTTAATTAAAATTATGAAGAGCAAAATTAAATGTCACTATACAAACCAAAGTGATGAAAAGTTACTTCTCTTGACTTCACACAGAAAAATGAACACATGCTATCATTATGCCAGTCTATTTTAAAAAAGGCATCTGATGGGCTCTTGATTTTCTCCCTACAATCTCCCCAGCATATAATTTGGCTACATTAACAACATGTGCAGGTGGGATGACAAACAGGAGGATAACTGCCAGCAATAAATAGATTCAGAAAGTATGTTAAGCCTGCTTATGGATACAAACCAGTGACACCTCCACTGTCCCCACATGTGAGAGCTCATGGATTTGGGTCAGCACCAGAGCACCTGTACCTGCTCTCCTGGTAACCAGAACTGCTTGCTCTGGCTGCCTGGGAAGGGACCGTGAGGACGGCATCAGTGCAGAGCCACGCAGAAAAAACCCTTCATGTGTGTGCAGAGCCACGCAGAAACCCTTCACACAAATCAAACTGCAGCTGTACCCTCACTGTGAGGGACCCAGGACAGGTTTGCACACAGGTGTGTGTGTGTTTCCATGTGTCTTCTCCTGTGTATTGGACACACACCACTACCCTGCCTGGGATAAAATTATTGCTGCAGTTAGTCCACATTGTATGGAAACGCATAACTGTGAACCGAATGTAAAGAAAACTGTATGCAAGGGGAAGAACATTCCACGAGCATCCAAATTCAATCCTCTGCAGCCAAAGGGGCTCAGCCATCACTCCCAGGTCACACTGACTGGGCTGACACTGAGCTGGTGTTCAAAGTTCCGTTCAAAAACTCAGTTAAATGAATAATCAGAGGACTTGTTGCACCTTTTTCTGAAGACTCCACAGAATCTTGCCAAATAGAGAGGCAACTATGTTTTTCTGTCATCAATTAGGAAAGGAAAAGTGTCATTACTGAGAGAAAACCATGGCACTAATGGAACATGTGTGTTTAGCTACACCCCTACAAGCCTTAAAGGACTCCAATCCACTGCAGGCAAGAGTAAGTGGGGATGTAGAACACACTGCAGAAGGAGCATTTTCAGGATGTGTGAAAGTAAGTTTATGCCTATTTTTAGGGGGACTCTTTCTTATTAAACAGAATATGACATGACATATCCAGAATAGCCTCAATAAATGCAGATCTGAAGAAGCATATGTGGAAAAGAAAGGTTACTACTGGTGAGAGAACACTCTCACCTACCTATACCCTTGAAAAGAAAAAAAAAAGAAAACTGACAGAAAAAGGGGCTCTGAATGCAGACCTTTGTCCTGTGTTAGAGAAAAGTTCACTGCAACCAGCTGGCATTTTGACAGCAGCGGAACAGCTCTGCAGACATGAAGAGGGAATGTATCTTTTAAGAGAAGGTGTAAATCTAATTAACACAAGGAAGAGGAATTCCCTTTATGCCATCTCCAAGCAGATCTTAAGCATTATCTTGCCATCTCTGCAGAAGGACAAGGGTGATGAGTGTATTTTCAAGTGCTCATGACAGACAGTTATTGTTGAGTGAAATTCTATCAAGAAGTGTGAAAACAATAGGAAGGAGTGATTAAAGCACAGTATAGAAGTATGGAATCCCAAATTCTATTTCCAGTTGTCACAGACTTGTCATGAGACCCCAAGTTTGTCATTTCATTTCACTGGGCCTGTTTCTGTCTCTGTAAGGAGGAGATAATAGTAATTACCTACCTCCAGGGGGTAGGGAAAGCTTAATGAACTCATGTTTATAAAGTATTCTGTACTAAGCTCTGTCAGCACAGTAGTATTCTACAAATTATTATTTGAATATTGAATGTTTTCCCAGTTCTCCTGAAGACAGTTTCAGAAGTTCTCATCCCACACCCACATTCTGGTCCATGAAGTTCCAATCCTATGATTAGAACTTGAGTCACCTCTACTAATCAGGATTTTTCATTCCAAACACATCTCCAACAGTCAGAAGCACTATCCAAACAAAAGTCCTTCCAAAACAGAAAGTACTGATTTTGGCAGAGTAGTAAGTTTAAGAAAATGCACCTTCTTGAACACTGACTTACCTCTATACTGCTGATCAGTTCTAAATATCGAAGGTCTCGTACCCTGGTAAATGCCTATTGAAAATAATTAAAACAAAAGAGTAAAAGGCATTAACTTGAAAACCCAGAAAAACCCAAATATTATTCTGCATGAATCAAGCTGTCTTAATGCAAAAAGGACAGGCAGAAGTCTGCTGGGTTTGGGTTTGTGTAGTCCCAAACCCAAAGGGCTCTGACTGTGACTGTGGTCCCTGAGTTGTGACAGGAAGGGAGACAAGGTACAACCAAAACAGCTCAGCCCTGACATGAGCAGTACAGCAGGGAGAGGGAGCTGTGCCTATCAGTCCCCCAAGAAATACTGAGTGTCAATTAAAATATTACATGCTTTTATTCTGGCTATTTTATAGCTTCTCCATTTTGATGTGAGGTGTGACACAGACAAGGAAATTTCAGGAAACTGTTACAAGGAAAGGCACATAACTGATCCTATTGTCAAAGCCTGCTGCATATGCTCCTAGTTCTTAAACCATTCTGAAAATCCAGCATGAAAGGAGCTCAGAGAGAGGAAAGGAAGTAAGAAGACGATAAGATAAAAGTACTGTAAGACAGTGTAATATCTTTGCAAATGGAGATAAATGTGCAACCCAAAGTCTCAAGTGGCAAAATCACGTGCAAGTTGCAGCAGCTCAGCACTTATTCCTGACATGCATCACAAAACAGAAATTTAACTCTTTGGGCTGCACATTCAAGACTTCCAACCAAACCAATACTTAAGAGGGCACAGAATATTCTGCTTACATCGGATTGGACAAGGAACTATGAGAGCCTTTAATGTCAAGAAGCTGCTTTTGTTTGAATTAATCCGCTCTAATTCTAAGAGGGCATTACTTTAAAATTCCAAGGAGGCACTGAAAACTTCTTTTTAAAAGTATCTATTTGCATAAAGACATCCATGAGACTGGAATTATTCTGATGCCTCCACTTAAGAAAAAAAAGAAAGCATTTAATTTCCTTTTTCTTTAAAAAAAATCTGTTATTAAAAGATGCCTATCATTACAGACCATTCTCAGCATATTTTTAGAATGTTTTGTCTTTCATACAATATTCATGACATTGAACTCAGTTTGCTTTCTCCTACTTGAGAAGACGTGGTGAAAGAAAATAGGGAAGTATTTTATGCCAGAGAATCTCAGTTCTTCAGTCCATGCCCACTCATAGAGCACTCCCCAAAGCAAGGCACGCCACACAGAAAAGGACTGAAATGATCCTATCCCATCACCACTGTCTTCACACAACCTTAATGGCTAGATAACAAAGAACAGGAAATCTTCACGTTTGTACGAAGGTTATATTAAATATGTGGGGGGAAAAAAGAGCAAGTTTGTAGCACTAAGGAAGGTGGGGGCCAAAGCCAGCTGAGCATCCTCTGCTGCCACCCGGCGGGCTTTGCCGAGCAGCTTCCCAGCTCTGCTCCCCTAAACCCATTAAAGCATTTTCCAGCTGAAACCACTTCCTTCCTATTTTCTAAATTTGGATTTAGAATGTGCCATTTATTTAGGGAGATACATTAGATTTCAGCTCAAAATCTTGTCTCAAAATCCTGAGTTTGTAACAAACAATTGGTTTCTTTGTGGAATAAGGCACACTAAAGAGAAGCAAGACAGTAACCCAGGAACACCACCTGCATTCCAGCCATAAAAAATGCATTATACACACACACACCACACACATATATATAAATATCAAACCCAAGCTTTTTGCTAAATGGGTAGATAAACGCTTTACCTTTTTAGCAGTTTCAAACTCCAGCCCCTCTAAGGCTTCCATGGCCAGCTCCCTCCAGTCAGCATCTGTCACTCCTAAACACGCAATTTGATAGGCTTCTTTAAACATTTTTCGTTCCAGATATTGATACATGGGTGCAGACTGAGGATTGTCATAGAAAAAAACATATCAGAAAGCATAATACTGAGATATATTAGTGAAATTCTCTACAGATATTGTGAAAAAATATATTCTAACCACAGCTGTTACAAGCTGCCCAGAAAATAAACATCTCCATTTTGTACACAGACAGAATAACGTGCTGGGGTGATCATTATCATATCTTTAGACAAGCTGGGTTAATTACATTCCAAATGCATGCATTTTGAAATCTTCAGTTCCTTGCAGTATTAGGAAGTAGTTAAGAATGTGAATTCTTCTGGGAATTGAACATGCCAAATATGACGTACACTGAGCTTTTTCAGTACTTTGAAAGCAGAGCAAAGGAGAAGCAGTGAGTTCTCAAGGGCCAAGAGCATAAGGAGCAGCACCACTGCTGGTGTGACACATCCCTGGAAACATCCAGACACACAGGAAGGAGTGGCAGGGGAAGAAAAGTGACCCTCCTGCCCCAACCTCGAGGACAAAGCTGTTCTACCAAGGCTGTGACTGTACAGGCCCAAAAGACACTCGGGCCTTTGAGGACATGCCCTGAAGGAAATCCCAGCAGAGCGCTGCCAGCTGCTGCAGGGTGACACACGCAGGGCGATGTGTGCTCTGAGGGAGCAGGGAGCACTGCAGCACCACTGCCTTAACCTGCCTTTGCAACCCAAAGGATGCACCCAGCATGACACAGGTCCATTCCTGCGTTATTTTTATCAATTTATCTGAAAATTGTACACCCTTTGGTACTCGCTCTCTCCAGAAGCACAGCTTTGGAAAAGCTGCCTTTGTGATAGCACACAGTAATTCTGTGCCACCTCGGTGCCTCCAGCTTGCCAAAGGCAGACAGGAGTGTTCACGGTGATCCTGTCTGCAGCTGCCAACCACCCTGGGCAACCCAGAGCCCCAGGGGACAGAGGGTCTGTAACAGGTGTCCATTAGTCACTATGAGCAGAGGACATTCTGCCTTCTTCATCGATTCTCAGAGGCAAATCCTGCACACACTTGGATGCAGTCACAATCCTTCCACTTTCTTTTTTTGCTTTTTTTTTTTTTTTTTTTTGACTTCTATTGCATCTCATGACACAGAAAACAGCATTTTATGGAAGGCAATCCCTACATTTTGAATATAAAGACCACACAGGTACTATACATTCAGACTAAAATATTCCATTTAAATATTGCCTAAAGACATCTAGATGAAGCAACAATAAAACAGTACTTGATGCATTCAAGAAAAATGAAATTACAACAGGGAAAAGTTATATAGAGAGAACACAGTAAAAATCCAGCAGGAGGTAAAGCCTGCACTATATTAGATTATGTGCATTTGCAAGTAGAAAGGGAGAATCAGAAGCAACAATTACCAACAGCAAAAAGGAAGTTAGCTTAATTAATGCCAAAGAAACAAAAATAAAATAGATTACACAATATAACTTAAGTAACAATGAAGAAAGTGTGAACTGCAATCGTTTTAGTAATGAAATACAAGTAAATCTCAGAAAAGCTTCTTCACTTGTTAACATTCATGTTTATGAGATATAAAGCAACACTTAATGAGATTAAAGGATTACCTGCGGAACTTCAACTGCTGACATAGAGAAAACATGAAGGCAGAAGATCTTGGAGCCATTGTAACCCACAACAAAGCCTTGCAGTTTTTGCTGGTGGACAGGGAAGTTGCTCGCTTTGATATTGAGGTAACCCCCTCCAGAAAAGCAAAGCATATCCTCACACTGGGTATTCCAGGCCACACTGTTAGCATTGGGTTCCTAAGGAGCAAAACATCTCAGGATTACAACTGATGAGGCAATCACATCTTTGCTAAGGAACATGCCTCCTTCAGCTGGAGTGTTTGACCCATTACAGCCTGATGTGTACACACACACTGATTATTCACATTTGCAATATCCTAAAGCCCAGAATATTCCTAAACAGGTTCATAGGGCCATACCTTACATTTTAATACTCAGCTATGATTGTCTTGCCTTTTATGTACATTTACTAGTTTTTTCTACAATCAATCTGTAGAACATAATACCAAATTCCATAATAACATACTGCTAGTTGGCACATTTAATTGATCCTTTCTTAGTCCACTACACAAAGGAAGTTGCACTCCATCCTTGCTATCCAGTGTTTTCTGAAACATTTAATCAACATTAATAAGTGACTGCTAAACTGCCAATGAAGAGAGCATTATCATGATTCCTTTTATAGCCTATGAATACCCAACAAACAAAGATGTTTAGGCTTTAATTCTGTTTGTACTAATGATAAAACTAAAATGCTCATTAACCGTAATGCTTCAGAGGGAAGCAGGGCAGAGTTCTAAATTAAACTGAAAAGGTCACATGTCTAAGAGCTCTTTATTCAGCTACTGCTCACATAGATTTCCTGTCTTCTCATTCCTACTCCACCATCTCTGAGAGGGTGGTTTTGATAAACAGATCCCAGTTAAATTCTACAAGATGTGATTAATAGCTTGAGTGAGTTACATGAATTTGTGCACAGCAACACTTTTGGGATGTTTTGTGTGCCAAACTTCTTCCAGCCCTCCCGAAGTCCTTTTAGAAAGCCCCAACAAGTGTTATTTTTCACCTGAAACAGCAGCTCCTTGGTGTGGATGTCGTAGACAAGGCAGGTGTCGTTCTCGTCCACCACGGCCAGCTTGTTGCGGGACGCGCTCATGTCCAGGCAGCGCACGGCCGTGGATTGCTTCAGCAGCACGAGCGCCAGCGCGTTATCCACAAAGATCTTCAGGATCTAGGCACATGTGAAACAAAGTCACTCCAGACATTTCTGTCCCTGCAACTGGAAACAGCACAGCGGGTAAAAACTTCAGTGCTGTCTGAAGTGTGAAACTGCATGCTTTTTCAGAGCCAAACTGCACTAAAATAGGGAAATGCTTCCAGTCTGAGGTCTCTTGAGCAGACTGGCTGCTACAACACGCTCTAGGTCGCAAGCCTACACAGACAAATCAGATGTCATGCACCCTGGATTCTCCACTAGCTACACAATTTCATTAATACAGGAATATATGACATATGGAAGACACACAGGATCTCAACTTCCTTGCTATCAGTAACTCTGGACTCCAGTTTGACACTTGCAGCTGCCACTTGGTGTGTGAAACAGACAGCACTACACCCAGAGAACAGCCACAGCCTCACAAGTGGTCATCAGGAGACAAGTACACACCTCCAATCCCCACTAAAGGCAAACCTGCTCTCTTCACCAAGAATTCAATTTTTGTCAGTTGATACTAACAACCCACAGACTTCTAGACACAGTTAAACATATTTGTATGAATTTTACTGTCAGAGAATGTGAAAGACAGAAGTAATTAATTTTTAATTCCAAAATGAGACTGTCAAATAAAATTCTAGATTGTTAAAGAGCCTGCAGCTCCTAAAGTGTCCCTCTAAGAGCACAGAACACACTTTATTTGCAGTGGAAAGGCAAATATCAGACATGATGTGTCTTACCTGACCATTCTTTAGACCAACTAAGAGGCCTTCTCTTCCTGGAGGTCCTCCAATTACTTTAATGTAACGAATAAGAGATTCCATCAGCCATTCTCGTTCTTTAACACCACGAAATGAGAGGCATTGCAATCTCTTCTCCTAAGGACACAGTAAGAGATAGAGCATAGCCTGGAGGTGAAGACAAAAATCTGTGTCTGATGTGTGATGTCTATACCTATACTAGCAGGTGTGTCTACTTCCACATTTAGAAATCGTAAAGTCGAATACTCAATTTAATGGGTGAATTCTTTAAGATTTTCCAATCCTGTGAGCAAACAAAAACAGACACCCCCAATCTTTTGCCAGTTGTACTCTTCCACCCAAAAGTACCCTTGGATTCTGTGCTAATTTATCAAATTCATTATAGAGCCTGTTTTACTGAAGCAGTCACCTGAGCTCTGCAGGGCACAGCAGGGCTGCCTTGGCAAGTGCTGCAGCAGGTTCCACAGCACAGCCACGTCCTGCCAGCCAGGGACTGGGACAGCTGCCTTGAGCACTGAACACACCCCAGGACTACTCTAGCTTTTAAGGCACATACCTGGCATAAAATAATGTGATCTGAACAGACGACCAGCAAGTTACATTCAAATTTCTTTATAATCTTTTCCTTCACCCGATAGTACATATCTGCAGAGTCATCCGAGTACAATTCATAAATCAGGATTTTCTCTGGCATCTGGATGGCTAATCTGTTTTTGTAGATTGCAATTTTCTTCACAAGCTCTCTGCCTTTTATCCTAACTAGAAACAAAAGACACCAAAATGATAAAGTATAAGCTGACACAAAAATAATATACAGAAGTCAAAGAACTAATACACTAAAAATGAATCTCCCTAGAGCACCTCTAAAATTCAAGCATATTCCTGCTCAGATATGTTTGCTGCTCTGCATCTACATAGTCTACTGTCCCTGTCACAGTTTACCACACTCTATGAACAGCACATTCTGGAGCAGTACTTCGAATCCTTGCCATAAAAAGCCAGAGAAATGAAGAAACAAAATAAGCACAAATGCTTGACGTTACAAGTAAGAAATATAAAAGCTAAATATAACACATAGTATTTTTATCTCATTTTCAAAGACTAAAATCTTATTTTAAGAGCCCTTGTCCCTCCCAGTCTCTTTGTCAATCCCCACATCTTCCATTAAACTTGTCAGTGCTGAACTTGCACACTCCAAGTTTGCACTCTCCTCGTGCACAGTCCGTTCCACATGGTTTGACTGTCAAAGTGACAACAGCCTGTCAGGTAGATGCAGCACATATTCCAAGTGTCCTGATGGGTATTAATTAAAACAAACTGCATGAAGCTTTGGCCTACCTGCAAGTGTGGAATTACCTTTTTGTTCCGTGATGAGGTGCTGGACAATAACATCGGTCATGTTGTCCCTGTAGGCGTAGCGATCTTTATAGAGGCCGTGGACAGTGCTGAAAATCAGCTGGTAGAAGGAGATTGTTCCATCCTGACACCCTACTGCCTGAACACAAGAAGGGAATCATTTTAGTTAATTCGTACATACAGGTGAGAGCTGGCAGAGTGTGTGGTGTTTATATGAACACCATGTCCCTTTTGCTGCACAATGAATAGACAGACACCAGTTACAGCTGACTCAGATTTAACCATGGTACAAGTGCAATGCAGAATGAGGACTGATCTTCCCACAGACCATGGAGACCACCATCCTGGGTGGGGGCCTTGGCTTTGTTTGGTTGGGTTTTGGGTTAGATTTTTTGTGGAGGGGGTGTGTTTGTTTATTTTTAAGTTTGCTTTAATTCTCTTCCCACTTGTACAGGACTCAAGAGTGGAGCATTTTGGGCTGACAGTTGCCCTGTAAGTATTTTCTTCCCATCATGAAATTAATTAGGTCAATTCCATTAGTTATTAGCTGATATTTTAAATTATTTTTCCTTCTTCTTTTTTAATCAAAATGCAGCAAATGCCTTACCACTTCAGAGCAGGTGTTATGCTCCTTACATCTTTCTTACAGCTCAGGTTTTACTTCTGTGGGATATTTGTAATTCCAGTGGCAGTTCTAGGACCTCCTGAGACACTGCTGAGGTTCTACTGCCTTGCTAGGAATGTCCAAGCAACTCAGCTGAAAATATATGATCTTACTTTAAGTAACAAATTCCCTGTGAAAATGTTAGAAAAACATCCCTACTCACCACATAGTTGGAGTCTGGTTTAACTTTGCAGGTCCACACCCAGCTGCTCTGCTCTCCCACGGTGCCCAGGCGTACCCCATCCCTCGTGAAGAGAGAAACCTGTCTATCTGAACCTCCCAGCAAGAGATACTCTCCTTTAGTAAAGTAGCTGATGCAGCATGGGTCAAAATTGAGTACTCTGTCCTTCCCAATCTGCAAGGGAAAATAAAACAAAAACTCAACCAAAAACATTAACAAAAGGATAATTTCATCTTTCCTGAAGGCAACAAGTGCTATCACTGATACCATTAATTTCCTCCATGCATGGCTTTTCAATACCCAGAACCACTGGCTCTACTAAGATTCCCAAAGGCAGTTCTAAAATACATCCAAGAATCCCTCCAGTCCCAAACCATTCTGCTCAGAACGCAACAACTCACAAAACCCCTCTAAACAGCTGAAAAAACGTACAGAGATGTTCTCTACAAACCAGTGTACAATGTCACAGGAATCAGCAGGGTTGTAAGGGCTTTAATGGAAGAACTGCAAGACAGCAGATGAGCTGCTATGTGAGAAACAACAGCTGAAGGAGTAATGGTTAAAAGGCTGGGAAAACAGAAGTCCTTTAATGTAACGAATAAAACAACAGCATATAAACATTTTGACTGTAGGACATGAAACAGAACCAAAAATATCCTGAGACATACCTGCTTGCCACTCAGGTGGTAAAAGGAAAGCTTCTGACCCCAGTCTGCCACAGCTAAAATGTCATTGCGTTCATCTCTGAAAAAAAAAATAAAAAATTAAAAAGTAATTCTACAGCAATTTATTAACGAATTTCTTAGAGCAACAGAACCAAGCAGAATAGCAGAATTCACTTCACGTTATTTTTTAGAAATCACAAACTGAAAGGACGGCAGTTTGTCATTTAAACCTGTGGAAAACAACTTGGGGACACAAAATCAAAACCAGACTCCCCTACTGGAATAACCCAAAGCTTGAGGTGGGGGGGCGAGGCTCTGCTCCCAGGGAACATGAGCACAACAAGAAGAAATGGTCTCAAGCTGTGCCAGGGAAGGTTTAGGTTGAATTCTGGGAACATTTCTTCCCTGAAAGGGTTGTCTAGCCCTGGCACAGCTGCCCAGGGAAGTGGTCAAATCCCAGTTCCTGCAGGGATTTAAAGCCCTGTGGATGCGGCACTTGGGGACAGGTGTCAGTGGTGGCCTTGGCAGAGCTATGGGAATGGTTGGACTTGATGTCTCAAAGGGCTTTGCCAATCTAAAGGTAACTTGTTTCCAGGTTCTCCATTCAGTTGAAGACTGGCAGCAAAGCCAAAACCATAATCACTTAAAGAAGGTAACACACATGGCATTAATCTGTTCCAGCAGGGATAAAATGAGCAATCAATGAGCCAAGAATTATCTATTCAGCATGAAATAAAGGAAGGATGAAATTATTTACCTGGAAGGATTCCAACAAATTGACCATATTGGAGAGGAAGAGCCCCCTGGCCTCTCTATTTTCACTTTCTCATCACCATTTTTGTTCCTTATGCTGACAATGCCGTTGAACATCCCCAAAGCCAGGTACTGGCCATCATTTGTCCAGCTGAGAAAACACATACATACTGAAGTGCAAACTACTACAAACAAGCAGCAGGAAGGCAGGATGGCATATAGCACACTCACAGGAACGGTAGATTAAAGCATATTTCTAGGAGGGAGTTCTGGGAGGTGGCTAGTAACCCTATGGTTTGTTTATGCATCTAAATCCACATTTATAGCAGCAGCATGCTCTACATAGAGAACATTTTATCTTATACACAGAAGTAAAATAATAAATTAAAGCTTGCAGTATCTGTAGCATGTGCTAAGTCAGATACATTTTGGGGATGGCAGTCTGGGAGTAGACCAAAATGCTTTAAAAGCCACATTTAGAATATGATTGGACAGAACTGTCTGGTGTAGGACAGAGGGGGGGCTAGGGTGTATTCTGGTCTCTTCTTTGGTCAGATGAATGCCTTCAGTTACTCAGAACCTGAACCCTTGCTTCAGGTTCCCCACAAAGGTAATACCTTCTTCAGCTGGTGGAAACACCAACAGTACAGGGAATGAACTACAAAAATTGCAATTATTTTTCCTCTAACTTAATTTTACTGTTGTTGCACAAGACAGATGAACAGACAACAACGGGCAGATAACCTAGGACACCTGCTAAAGACCAGACTATGTCTCTGATGCCTTCAGAAGGATTTGGTTATAAATAGGACCAAGCATAACCCAACACTTTGCTACTGAAAAAGAAGGAGGGAAAAGTCCTTTTCTTTAAAGCTTCCGTCTTACTTGAAATGGTTTGTATTGAAACCAACTTAAATTACACAGATAGCCCTTAAAACTTACCTACAGCAAGTAATCTTGGAGCTTGTTTTATGTTTAGAGACTGACTTCTGTTCAGGAGACCACAAGCCTTGACAAAAGAAAACAAAGAGCCAATGACAAGTAAGTATGTACCAGTGTTCAGACTGGAAACTAGTACTAGTACTGTCAGGGGACTCAGTTGGGATTTTAGAGGCATCAAAGTCTTGTCCACTGCTAGAATGATGTTTAAATACATATTACTTATTATTAAATGGGAAAAATCCATCTAACTAACAGAGGTGGTCTCTGTAAAAAAATCCAGTAACACTGCAGCACACTTGATCCTTGCTACACTGTCCCTTCCCACTGAGTTTAAGTGATTTAAATCAGTATCCAGTGTCACTGAATACTAGGTAGCTTTATGAACATGTCTTCTGGAGTTACAGAGCTGTACCTATCTGTGGTTAGCTTAGCTATCCAGCTGTAATGGAATTCACTGTCTCAATGGAAAAGTTCAAGGGAGAAGACATACCAAAATCCCCAGATGAGCAGGATGCCAACTGATGAGTGAGAGGATTGTATGAAACACACTGGATAGAGTCATTATGCCTGGAATGAAGTTACAATCAGATTTTAATAAATCATTCTTAAATGTCCATTTTCTGACTTTCAGCAAGTGAGCTGAAAATGTCAAAATAACTGGACTGGTTTATGGTACATCAAGTAAATCTGCTATTACTGTAAAGTAAATCAGTAATAAACCTTGTAAAAACTGTCTCCATGTAGCACAATTCACTGTATTTCATCAGGATTACAGCAACTGTGGTTTGTGAAATAAGACTGAGGTTATATCCAAATCCTAAACCAAGTGTGCTTGTGCAGGCTCTGTGCAGTGACCAGCTAACAGAAACTCCTGATACATGTGCAGTCAGGAAACAGAACATGAAGTTGTTGCTTCAGAGGGCTGACAGAAAACAGAGCCAGATGATTGAAATATACCAAAAGTGCCAAGCCCATCTTTAATTTGATCTTTGAACCCGAATTATGGTTTATTACAGAGGACTGGTCATATTATGTTTCATTTTATTCTGACCTATTCTGAGTTTCCCTAGTTCTCTGTCAGCCCTCTAAATTCATAGATTTCTCTGGATTCCCCACTTCCTTTTATGTCTTTAATTGCTTTCCTGCCTCATTCAGATACTTCAGCTGTTCTTTTCCTCCTCCCTCCCCTATCACCCCTTTTCTCTGACCTTAGTGAACCTTCTCCCAGATCTAACAGCTTGTGCTCTTTAATTGCAGCAGCGCATAATCAAATCGGTTTTTGAAGCACAGAACTGAACAGCATCACTTACGTGTATTTCAGAATTCCTTCTAACTTTGAAGTCCAAATTATCACACTTTTATCAGCAGAGCCAGATGCAAAACGCTTGCCTAGGAATTAGAGATAATTTAAATCCCATAGATACAAGAATTACTTTCACTCCAAATACTCAATCAAAGAGAGAGCAGGAAGTTCTTGAACTCGACAAGGCTCAAGTAATAAAGGGCTGACACTGAGTGCCTGATGTGCTGGTGCTTCCTTAGCCACATGGAGTTCCAATGGCTGCACTGCACCCTTTCCATGGCCTTGCCAGTAGCCAGTCCTTCCAGTGTTGTCCAGCCCCAGGCTGGAGACTGATGGGAACAGTGACAAGTTAAACTGGTACATTGTCACAGGAACTCCCATGACCCAAACAGCAGCAGCTGCAGGAAGGCTCCCAAGCCCACAGAGTTCCACTGAACAAGAGTTGTAGACCATGAGAGAAGCAGAGTGCAGTGAGAAGGTCCTTCACATATGAAGGATCAGGAGATCAGGAAGTTCTGGGATAGAGGAATTACAGGAATAAAACTCAGAGGCAGATGAGTAGTAGAAAAAGGAATCTCTGAGGTGAGCCTTCTCCTCATGCTACCCATGAATATACACTTCACCAACTAAACCTAACACTAAAGCCAAAGAGGAGGAGCTGTGGGACCACAGCTCTTAGGTTGACAGGTGACCTTACAGGTACTTGTGCAGGTAGCACCTGCACAGCAGATCACACCCTCCACTGGACAATATACCCCAGCACCTGCTAAAGAACAAACCCCCAGCACTCACATGCTGCGACTGGAACAACCCCCATTTCTCCATCTTCAGTGGGAAATCACAAAAAGGAGAGATGCACTTCACAAACCAGGCTAACAGTGCCCCAAGGTGCTATTTACCATCTTTGGCATAAGCCACGCAGTACACAGTGTCTTTATGTCCTTTCAAAGGCTGAATTAGGGTTCCATCAGAAGTATCATACACCTGTTCAGATGGGGAGAGAAAAAAAAACAATGCAAATATACAAACAAAAGAACTTACACAAGAAAAACCTCCAGTGAATCACAGAACTACATTTGGATGGGAAGGGACTTTAAAGCTCACTCAGTTCATGCCCTTGCCATGGGGCAGTGAGACCTTCCACTAGACCAGGTTGCTCCAAGCCCCATCCAACCTGGCCTAAAACACCTCCAGAGTGAGGACTGGGATACAAAATTACTGAAGACCAACAGATAATGCACTTTCTTTTGTGTCTGCTTTCATACAGTTCATACAAGACAAAACACTTTCTAGCACAGAAACAGCTTTCTGTAATGTCACACTTATTAGAAAGAAAGAAGTCAGTACTAGAAAATAACATGCACAAAGGACATTTTTCAACAGGTTGTTTGGCTTTGTATCTTTTATTTTTATATTTTACATCTTGCTGTTAAAACATCTTTCTACACATTTGATGTTTAAGCATAATGAATTACTGCCAAGGAGCATCACTAAGTACGTGATTCTTTTAGCCCTGAAAATAACACTTGCTGTCCTGCAGTGATGAATTCCACCTCTACAATCCATCCATCATCCCTCCACCCCATCCATCCCTTCCTGCAGATCCTACATCTGCCCCATCTGAAAACTTTGCAGGACCTGTGCAGAGCTGATCCTGAGCTGCTCCTGCAGCAGCCCCAAGGACTCACCAACAGCTAGAGATGAATGTTCCCACATGCTTCCTATCACCACAATGCAAAAACACGGGTTTGGGTTTGAGTCTCTCCCCCGTCACAGAGATTGTAATCCAACTCCAGCACAGCCCCTGCACTATGTGCCAGGACTAGGGGCAGGTTCATCAAACCTCGGGCACGGCACGAGAGGACGAGATGACACAAATAACTTAAATCGCATTACTTTTGGAAATAGAGCTTAAAACTTGGTAAGAAATATTTAAAAGCTTCAGAACACTTTAGAATTGGCCTGCATTAATATGCATGTTGCTGTGAGGCTAAGCTGACAGAGATAAGGGGATTTCAGATATGTTATATTCATAAGTTAATGCAAAAGAAATCATGCTCCTACAGCTGTAAGGGAGAGAAGACAGGAAGGTTTCCCTACCAGCAGCCTGTTTCCAGCAGCAATTATCAGCTGGGTCCCATCCGGCTTGAACGCGAGGTCGTAAATACTGAGGGAAACAAACAAAGCAAGAAGTGCGTGTCAGGAGACAGAAATAGATCACCTGCCCGTCAGATGTGCCACATGGCCAGCTCTGGTAGCGGCACAGTGAGCGTGGCTGTGATCGCCCACACATTCCCCGAGCAGAGGAACCGGGCCCGGCCCCGCACTGGGAAACCCCCGCAGCCCCGAGCGGCCGCAGGGAGCGGAGCGGGGCGGGCCGGCAGCGGCTGGGCCCGGGGCCGCTCACCACTGCTCCGCCCTGTCGCGCCAGGTGAGCGCGGCCCGCATCCCTCGGGCCCGGCACGGCTCGGCACCGCTCAGCAGCGCTCGGAACCGCTCAGCACCGCTCGGAACCGCTCGGCACGGCGCCGTCCGGCACCGCTCGGCACGGCACCATCCGGAACCGGCCCTCACGGCCGGGCCCGCTCCGCTCCCCCCCGCTTCGCCCGCCCCGCTGCTGCCACGGGCAACGCGCCTGCGCCCGGGGCCCGCGGGTCCGCCGCCCGCCAGGGGGCGCTGTCAGCCCCGTAGGGCGCGCTCGCGCGGGGCGGGGCGCGGAGGCGATGCCGTGACGTCACGGGAACGGCGCGCGGGCGATGGCGGCGCCGGGAGCGGCGGGCGGGTGAGGGCGGAGCGGGGCCGGGTTCGGACCCGGTTAGCGCGGCAAGAACGGCGTCGGTCTGGCCCCGGGCTCGTGTGGGCGTCCGTGGCCAGGCCCGTCCTGCCGTCCCCGGAGCTTCCCCAGCAGCTGGACCTTACCCGGGCTCTTCTTCCCCTGCAGCCCCGGGGGCGGCGGTCGAGGCGCGGCGGCGGCGGAACGGCCCGGCCCCGGCCCCGGCCCCGGCTGCGGGGACCGCGGCCCGGCGGGGCCCAGCGCCGTCCCGCGCGAGTGGCAGCGGGTGAGCAGCCGCAGGCGGGCGGGCAGGACGGCCGGGAGGATCGACGTGTACTTCGTAAGGTGAAGCTGGGGCTGTCACTGAGCTCTGTGCGGCCTTTCTTGGCAGGACCACAGAAATGTGCTCAGACATCGCCCTGAAAACTGGTTTTATCCTTTGTTTTGGGTTTGTTTTTAAGCAAAGAGCAGCAGAATGAGAAAGTAATTGCTAATTTACTTTCCTTTCCTACCACAGCCCTGAAGGGAAGAAGCTGAGGTCAAAACGAGCACTTGTGGAGTATTTACAGAAAACTGGGGAGACGACACTGAAAGCAGCAGATTTTGATTTCACAACTCCTCAAGGGAGCACATGCTCAGGGTTGAGGGGATATGGCACAGGAGATGTGAGGACTGACCTGGAAAAGGAGGATTGTCAGAGCAAAGTGCAGGAGCTCCATGCACAGAATGGTGCTGAGATTGGAATTCAGAACATCCAGGCTGGGAATGGACACCTGGAAGATGCTGCATCTACTGTGGAAAGCACAGACTTAGTAATGGAAGGCACAATCTCAGAGAGTTTGAAAACCAGAAGAAAGGGGACAGATGGGAAAAGTGTCCAAACCAGGAAATGTGGGAAGGGCTCAGAAAGGAGGAACCAAGGTGACGCCAAGAGCAAGAGGCAGAGAAGAATCTCTAACACAGGGGAGACAGAATGTGTTCAGAACAAGAGGGGCCGTAGACAGACAGACACATGTGGAGCTGACAGCCAGGCTGTGGGTGCTGACCCTGTGGATGCAGGGAAAACTCTGTCAGGAGTGCCCAGGGCACGGCTGAGGTCAGTGGCTGGCTCACAGAGGGAGCTGGGTCACCTGCCAAAGGAGGGGCCCTGCTCCAGTGATACACCTGCTGTGAGGTCTGAGGAGAAATCCTATGGACTGGAGATAGGGAAAGTGCCAGATCCGGGGGATGTGGCTGAGCAGAATGTTAAATGTGACACTGAGGTGGATGCTGAGCCGTGGGACGGGACAAGCTTCACAGCAGTCAGAATGTCACCAGGTGCGTGTGTGCGAGAGCAGAATGGGATGCCAATCCTCACCTTGTGCCCAGGCCTCTCCTGACTGTTGAGGCCATGTGTTCTGCTTCAGGTCAAGGTGCTCTGACATCCAAATCTCCTTTATATCCAACAGCATTTAAATTAATACAGATTTACTCAAAACTGAAACTTACTGTGCCAAGCTCTTAAGCTGTACAGTGTCAGAAAATAATCTGGAGGAGATTTAAGGTACATCTGTGTTCTGTACATGAGAAGAATTCCTTCTGTGTCCATCATGGCATAGAGTGGAAATGGTGTGTGAAACATGACAGCAAAATACTTGGTCTTTTTGCCTAACACTGAAGTTTTATTTCTTTACAGAAGAGTCTGTCCCGCGAACACAAGTGGAGAGAAGGAAAACGAGTCCATATTTTTCCAGTAAATACAGCAAAGAAGGTATTGTATTTAGAGAAATACATTTTTTTTATGGGGAAGGGATAGGATGGCTCAGGATCAAGTGATGATGTGGAAAATTCCTTGCAACTTTACACTGGCTGCAGCTGTGCCGAGTGGGACACAGTCCCCTGCAGCCCTGTAAAGGCTGTGTGGGAACTGCCATGGCTCCATCTTTGCACAGTGCCTCCCCAAAAATGCTTCAGAGGTCTTCATTTTAATTATTTTTTTTTCATTAAATAGGTAAAGCTGTCTTTTCCTTTCTAATAAATATTCCTGTGTTGCCCCTGTACAGCCCCCAGCCCACCCAGAAGGAAGGCCCTCAGAAAATGGACTCCTCCACGTTCTCCTTTCAATCTTATCCAGGAAACACTCTTCCATGATCCGTGGAAGCTTCTCATTGCCACCATATTTCTTAACAAAACCTCAGGTAAGCAGAGAAGCAGGAGTAGGTGTGTGAATGGTGGGAGGTGTTACAGGGCTGAAACAGCTGCCAGATTTAATGGCATTAATGAAAGCATCAATTTATTTTAACTTGTGTCATTGTGAAATAATAATCCTTAGTTAATACCTTGCCTTGGAAAAGCTCACTTGAGAAAGTATATGGATAGTGCAGAAGGAGAACTCCGTCCCAGCCTCCTGCTCACAAGATTCTTTCACCAGGGAAAATGGCCATTCCAGTGCTCTGGGAGTTCCTGAAGAAGTATCCTTCTCCTGAGGTAGCCAGGGCTGCAGACTGGAAAGAGATGTCAGAGCTGCTCAAACCTCTTGGTCTCTATGAACTCAGAGCCAAAACCATCATCAGGTTCTCGGGTGGGTTTTCCTGACGTCTGGAACAATCTTGGTTATGTTGGCAAAAGACAAACAGCTTTGATCCAAATGCTGCTCTGTGGGTTCTCTATTGGGTGGGTTGGTGACTTATTCTGTGCAGCACTTGGGATCCACTGGTGTCACACAAGCAAAGCTACTGATCCCAGTCTGAGCTGGGAAGGAAATGCCAGCCACAGTGTGTTCTGCAGGAGACCAGAAACTTATTGAAGAGCCCCAAGCCCTTCTTGCAGCACTGTTGTGGGGTGGCTCTGCTCAGGGTTGTTCTGGTGACCTGCAGACCGCCTTTCCAGCTGGGATTTTTCTGATTTTGATATTTTCTATAGTCAGAACCTGCAGAGGAGAATTTTTTTTTTTATGGTGAGAGAGATTATGATTAAAACTCCTATGGTGGTTTGTTGAGAGGTTTTTAAGATTAACCTGTGGAGATTCCTGGCCTGCATTCACCAGGAAACACCTAAACCTTGTGGTTTTCATTTGAAATGTGCCAAAGTGAAGACATGTGACACTGGCACAGGGTCCTGCCTGGTTGCTCCTTGTGTCCTGGCAGTGAGGGCAGGGTCTGTGTGGGCAGGTGCTGAGTGTTGTGCCCTGCCCCACAGGTGAGTACCTGAGCAAGGCGTGGCGGTATCCCATCGAGCTGCACGGCATTGGCAAGTACGGCAATGACTCCTACAGAATCTTCTGTGTCAACGAATGGAAGGAGGTGGGTGGTGCTCTTTGGGTCCTTCAGCATCTCACCTGTGCCCACTGAACCCCTGGTACTGGAAAACCAACGGAGTGTTGGAGCCATGAGATATTTTAAGGTGTTTTAGTAAGTACTTGATGTTTTCCCTGTGTCTCAGGTGCAGCCACAAGACCACAAGTTGAACGTGTACCACAGGTGGCTGTGGGAGAACCGGGAGAGTCTGAGCATCGACTGAGCTGAGCTGGGTGTGACCTGGCCCCACCACCTCCCCTCGGGTGCCCTCACAGTTCTGGGTGTAAATATTTGTATGATGTCGTGGCTGGGGTCATAGCTTTTTTTTTTTTAATAAATGTGTCCCTGTTTTGTAGTGCCTGTGTCTTCTTGCAGTGCAGTTCTGTGCCCGCAGCCGCCTCCCCGGACTGGGGGCTCGCTGGGCACAGCCACCCAGTGCCCCCCGTTACCTCCCGCAGGTCCGGAGCAGTCGGGCTCTGATCTCCGAGCTGCTGCTCACGGGCTGAGGGGGAGCGGACCCCTGCCCGGCCCTGGCGCTTCCCCAGTACCCACCAGTACCACCTACTGCTGCCTTCCCAGTCTCATCCAGGGCCGGGCCCCGTGTCGCTCCGGGAGGAGCGGGCCCGGGGTGGGTTCTGGCTCCGGGGAGCTGGGGCCGCTCTCGGGACCCTCGGGTAGCGTCGCGCTGTTCCCGGGGCCGGGGGGTGGTGAAGGGGACCGGGGGCGGCGTGAGCCAGGACCCGCCGCAATCGGCTCCGCCACGCCGCCAGGCGGCGCCTGCCCTCCCGCTCGTACTGGCGGAAGTGGCTGGCGGGCACAGGCCGGCAGCGTGACGCCACCAGGTCCTGCCAGCCTCATAGCAGGCACGCTGTTCGTGGCACTGGGCGGGAGGAACCGATCTGGGCGCCCCCGCCGGACTGAACCTCCCTGCCCGGTGCCACCTCGCTGCGGAGGCAGCCTGACCTCCGCGCCGCCTCGCCGGCGCCTGGTGCCGCGTGTGCGCGGCCGCGGCGCCACACGCCCCTGCCAGGACCGCCCGCGTGTCCCATAAGCGCTTGCGCGGGGGGCGCCTCCCTCTTTCGGCCGGGCCCGCGGTGGACGCGCCATCGGCACCGGTGAGTCCCGGCCGCGCCATCCGCGGCCATCGGGGCCATCCGGCCCCCGGTGCTTCTGGCGCGGACCGGTTCCTTCCCTTTCTCTTTTCCTCCGCCACATCTTTTCCCCGGGGCGCGGAAAGCGGCCCCCGCGGGCTGGGGCCGGTCCTCTGCCTGCCGGGGCGACCCCGGATGGGCGGTGCTGGGGCCTCAGCCGTGTCCCTTCCCGGGCGGCGGGGCCGCCTCAGTCGCGCTCCCGGGGCAGCGCTCGGTCACGAGCCGGGCCGGGGCCTCTGAAGCGTGAGCGGGCGGAGCCGGAGGGTCTCGGTCGCTGTCCGGTGCGCCGGGCTCCGGGCAGGAGCATCGCAGGGCC